ATATATATATATATATATATATATATATATATATATATATTGGTTATGCACAGATCAAATCGCAACATTACGGATCATCGTTGAACAATCAATTGAATGGAACTCGTCACTATATATCAACTTTCTTGACTACGAGGCGTTAGACGGTGTGAATAGTAGAACCTAATTGAACATATTTCGGCACTACGGTGTGCATGAAAAAATTGTCAGCATCTTAAGGAATTCATACGACGGACTACAGTGCAAAGTCGTGGATGAAGGATAGTTGACAGATGCACTCCAAGTGAGGACCAGAGTCAGACATAACTGCTTATTCCCTCCCTTCCTCTTTCTTCTGGAAGTTGACTGAATTATGAAGACCTTGACATCTTAGGGGAAGCACGGGATGTAATGGGCTGGCTGGATGCAGCTAGACGATTTGGACTTCACAGATGATCTGAAACTCCTATCCCATACACACGAACGATTCCAGGTCAGGACAAAAAATGTAGCATCAGCCTCTATATCAGTAGGCCTCGACATACACAAGGGAAAAAGCGAGATCCTCAAATACAACACAGAGAACACTAACCCAATCACACTTGATGGGGAGAGTCTGGATGAGGTGGAAACTTTCACCCACCCATCTGGGCAGCATCATCGATGAACAAGGAGATTCCGATGCAGACGTAAAAGTGAGGATCAGCAAAGCAAGGATATTATTCCTACACTTGAAGAACATATGCAACTCAAAACGATTGTCAACCAATATTAAAGTGAGAGTCTTTAATACGAACTTCGAGACAGTTCTATTGTAGGGAGCTGAAACTTTGAGAACTACTGCAACGATCATCAAAAGGGTCCAAGTATTTATAAACAATTGTCTATGCAAGTTACTGAATATCCGTTTGCCGGATATCATCAGCAACAGCCTACTATGAGAGCGAACAAACCAGATTCCAACTGAGGAGGAAATTATGGGAAGACGCTGGAAGTGGATAGAACACTCGTGACGGAAATCATCGGACTGCTCACAAGGCAGGCGTCGACTTGGAATCTTGAAGGTAAAGGGAAAAGAGGAAGGCCGAAGAACACACTGCGTCGAGAATTGGAAGCAGACATGAAGAGGATTAATAGCAACTGGAAATGATCGCTCAGGTTAGGGTTGGAGAGAGGATGTTGGTGGTCGGCCTATGCTCTTCCACGAGATGTAGCAGGTGTAAGTAAGTATAAACAATTTAAAATACCAATGAATAACTAACAAACAAATAAATTACTAAGTTAAATATTTGTTCCCCAACACTGTTTCTTTCAGTTTCAGTTCTAGTTTCTAAAACACTTGCACACTTTTATTCTGACTGATTTCAATGTTAGTCTTTTAGTATGATGGGGATCTTTAAATGATTTAACTTACTTGTTTACTTGATCTCTGTTAGATAGTATTTAGTAGGCAGTGCAATAAAAAAATGGTATTCATTTTCTAAGAATACTTTATATGGTCGATCATCTGAACTAGCTTTTATAACGTCAGCTGAACTAAATTTATTTTCTAAGCTTTCAGTATATTGATATAAAACTGATGTAAATCATGTATCATATTAATGGGTTGTGAATTAGCATACTCTGATAATTTATCATGGTCAACAATGATAGTTTATTTAAAGTTTCAGAATAATCAAGCCTCCAATGTTATGAAACATTTGTCACAATTAAAACTTTTAAAACAGATTCGGTTCTTTTTCTATTGCTGGATATATATTTCCCTTTATTTGAGAAGTTCACATATGTAGCTGAAATCCATACTTCGTTATTGATGTCAAAATCAATTACGAAAAATGTCTGAATAAAAATTCAACATGGTGAATAACATTCAACCGTAAGTATAAACCATTGTTTGATCTAAAAAAAAGAAAAACTAATCAAGTTCAATCATATTTCATCACTTCAAGTTATCTAGAATTAGAATCTACATTATTTCAATGTTATACCCCGGCAATCATTGACATGACAATAAATACAGTTCAAACTTTTTATTATGATGAACTAATTCATTTTTTTTAGTGCTGTCACGTTTTTATTAAAAATCAAACCATGTTCTGGAGTTAAACTGCCAACTATGAGTTGAATCACGTTTTTTTTTCATTCATGACACATCCACAACTCTGATTGCGAATGTGTTGATTGTAAAATACAAACAAATAATACATTGATCTCGCTCAACCAAAATGTTATGGTATATTATAATTTTCTTTTTTAGATCAGTAATTTTTATAAAATCTTGAACAAGTACCAAAAAGGCGATTCGAAAAACTTATTCACCCATCGCAGTAAATGTAGTTTGTAATAAACAATTAAGTAGAGAACATTTGTGAATATGCACAATAATGACTGATGTTATAGAAGATAAATTTATTTAAACTTCTGCTCACTTATAATTAATAATTCTTTAAAGGAGAAATTTAGTACATATTGCAAAACGTCAAAGATCCAATTTTTATTCACAAAATTATTATAAACTAATTACCTAATATTCACATTCACTTGGTATTGATGTTTAGGACTGCAATCGATCAGTATATATGCATATTGTGCGTATTGCCTCTATATTGCATTAAGTCACAAGCATTATAAGCAAAATAGTCCTAAACATCAACGGGGGGATTCAAGTAAATAATGCCAAGTGAATTTCAATTTCACCCCATTGGACAAGCAAGTGGCTATTAGAACCCAGTAGCTAAGTGGATAACGCGATGACGTTCGGAACAGACGGTATTGGGTTCGAGTCCGAGAGTGGACATCAACTCTGAGATGCAGGTATATCCAGCTGATGGGTCTCGAATAGGACGAAACGCGCGCTGCAGATTCCACTACTAGCCGCTACTCATTTTTGCCTATAATACTTATTATTCAGTTTATTTAAAATTATCACGGTCATAACTTAGTGGTTATGTCTTTAGAACCAACAAATATATGTTTCATTTAAACATACAGTTTTCTAGTATTTCGTCTTTTTTCACAGCCCTTAATTTACAAATTGTCTTATGTTGGCTTGATAACCCATAAGTTTACATGAATTCCTCAGTCTTGGACTTTGTCTGTGTAACTAGAAGAATATGCGTTGGTGACTGAAGAGACTAGGAAATTTGTTGAGTAAAAATAGTTGTTGATATGATATTACATACATGGAACTCAGTGAGAATGTACTTGTAGTCTTTTGATTTTTCGCATTTTTTTCACAATAGTTTCAGATTAGGTTTACATTTTCTTCTTACATAATCAGTTAATTTGCGCTGATTAGTGCAAGTAGCACTGGTTGTTATTAAGAACATTTTGTTAAAGTTTTTAATTGTGGGTCTATCAATTATTTAGATCCTATCGTTTGGTTTCGAGCATTCGTTTTCAGCTTATTACTTAATAAATTAAAACTTTATTAATGTGTTCCATTATCACTAGTTAAACGGAGTGTCAAGTGTCTAAAGCATTCTCTAACATACATCTACTTTTTTAATTTTTGTCTTCTTTATTTGGCGGCCTGCTTGTACATCTGGGCTACCTGTTCCTGTTCTCTAGATATTTCAACAAATTATCTATTTTTGTTTGTTTCAATACATCAACATGTCTATTGATCACATAACCTATTCGGGTACGTTTCTGCAAATTGTACAACTTTTTGTTGTACAAGTTACAAAAAGCCCAATCGGAGATGTTGTGGTTGTTGGCAACATGCAGCGGAAAGAATGTATATTATTTCGATGTCGATTTACTGGACTGCTAACATCTAACTGGTGACCACTCAATATTTATCGTCAGTATCGACCAAGAGGTAAGAAATGGAAACTGGTTGAAATACTTTGTGCTGAGAACTCTATACTGTTGAATAAGTTTGTAGATATACAATATGTTGAGTAGGTGGAGACAGTTAGCAAAAAACCCTCGACTTAAGATTTGTGTTTTTTGACACTTTAGCGATGTATACCTGTAATCTTTGGTTTGCCGACGAGACACTACATTTTCTTGTCTGTCGAAGAAGTAGTAATTAAAAAACCCAAACCTGATTTATGTGTTCAAAAAGAGACAATGATCAACTTTGGTAAATTCATAGCTTTGACTAATTCTTATTTAATATACACCAAAATAATTTTTCCATTCATCAGTATTTTTGTATTCACTCGATTCTTTAAAATTATGTGAACTCTTCAAATCTTGTATGACTACTACTTAACCCTTCAGTCACTAGTGTTAGATAGTCACCGCCTCATTGCTCTAAATGTTCTATATCTATTTCAAGTGATTGAAGTCTTATGTAAACTCTTTACAACTTCTATAATTATCATAACATCCATCTTGTCAGTCTTCAAACTCGATATAATTACTGCTTCACTGCCCTATTTTTTGAATTCCATCCTCAAGCGACCTTACACTTGTTCTTCCATACATAAATATTTATAGATAGGTTTTTTCTCACAGTACACCTATTTTGCAAATGCAAGTGTTTATAATCAATAGTTTATATGAAGTTACTTGTTGAAATTACATCATGACAGTATTTACGATCAATGCTTTGTTAAGCATCACAGATCATCTATACTCTGTCTATGTAGAAACATTAAAAGAAAAGTAAAACTTAACTTTAATGTGTGGAAAACTTGTATTCTTATCGTATTTCATGAGTTATATAAATTGATGATAAAACTTCATTGGTACATTGTACTGAATACCTCTTATCCAAATAGTTGAACTTAATTAAGACAGTTGACATTTCTCATTAATAAACAAGTCACTTCAATTTTCATATAGTCTAGTATGTCTACATACGTTATGTGATATTCCTCATTATGAGAAGTTGAATTTCAAGTATATCGAATCACATTTTTTAAATAGACATTATTATAACAGTCTAACAATCATTTCCAGAGAGAAAAACATGTTAATAAATTAATCATTAAGTTAACAGAGAAGAAATTAGCTAATTTACACATGCATTAATAATCTCTTCACAGAAGAAAATAAATTTGCAGTAATTATCTTGGTCCTGAACATCGATGAGTGAATTTTGTTACTTTATTATTATTATTATTTATTTCTACTTGGTTATTCAGGTCATTCTTGTCTGTTACAGTCGACGATATACAGTAATTTTCATATTCCGAGTGAATTTCATCAGATTTTGTTTCTGTTAAATTTGGTGATGGAGATTCACTATCTCCTGGTCTATGAGAACGTTTCCATTTCATACGTCTGTTTTGAAACCATATCTTAACCTGAAAATTTCATTTCAAGGAAAATAAGAAATTATACATTGATTAATATCCATATTATTAAATTTGTTTTCGATATTCAGTTATTTATTTTAACAATTTATGTTATTTTAAATACCATAACCAGTTGAACCGACTTTCTTTCATTAGTAAGAAATTAAATGGAGGATATTTAAAAACTAGATAACTATAAGTAAAAGTTTCATGAACATCAGATATCCCGCAGCAATCTGCAAACAAGACTCCACACAGGGAATCGAACATAGAACTTCAGATTTTCAGGTCAACCTAATATCTACAAACTATTGTGCTGAAATCCTGTTGTCTGAAGTTTCACTTTTATAGAACTTGTAATATATCTCCATTTTCATCTAATTCAATTGATTTTCTCCTATTTCATTTATTTTCTTTTGTTATGACTTTAACGGTCACTGTTTCCCATTACAACTCCAAGAAATGTACTTTTTGTCTATTTACTAGTGATTAAATGATATGTGCTGATATAATTGTGAAGAGCTTTTTAAACAAATTGAACGAAAACTTAATTATAAAATTTAATTAACTATGTATCTCAAATGCCAGAATGTACCAATTGTCTGATATTACCTAGTTACGTAATATTTTTTCCGACTAACATCAGTCAGTGATAAAAATTATTTTCAAATTATATAATATTTGGACAAAGCCACCTTTTTTGATTGTTTGTTGTGGTCAATTTTCTTCTGTTTATACTTTTATAGAGAACTTTTTGAACGTAACGTAATAAATTTTGATTCAAAGCAACTGAAATCACTAGTATTTAAGTTATTTGCAACAGACTCTTTACTAATTAATAATTTCAGCATTGAAATATTGCATAGTAGTAAAGATGGATAGTGACAAGCAGTGGAATCCAGGACGCGCCTTTCGTCCTATTTGGTGCGTCCTGGATTCCACTGCTAACCACTATCCATCTTTGCATATAATGCTTGTGAATTAAGACTATATCGAGGCATTCCGCACAGTATGCACATATGCCAATAAGAAATTGATCAATTGCAGTTCAAAACATCAATGGGAAGATTCAAACAAACAATACCAATTGCATAATAGTTTTTTAAAGGACCACACAGTTTTAAAATAAATTTTAAGTCCCTTGAATGATCATCTGATAACGTTAAGAATCTAATTCAGATTAGAATCTTTCTTAAGATTATTTATTAAAATCCATTCAGATCATCAAGTTACTGAATTATCTTTTCAAATAGTTGTAAGTAAGAAAATGTTATTATTATTATGAAAAGTAGTAATTAGATCATTCCATTAATAGCTTATTAGTAAAGGTTATAAATAACATCAGTTGATTATCTTTGAATGACAACAGAAACAATAGTCTAATTTACAAATACAGTAAGATAATGAAATATATCAATGAGGTATTTTCTTTTGTTCTATTTAGACCAGATGATTTTGAATCATGAGTCAGTTGAAGCTAGACCACCATGGAAAACCTGGAAGCAATGGACGGCCGTTTCGTCCTACTGTGGGACTCCTCAGCAGTGCGCATCCATGACCTCGCACCTTGCGAGATTCGAACCCAGGACCTACTGTTTTCGCGCTCGAGCACTTAACCACTAGACCACTGAGCCGGCATCCAACGGTGTTAATGTCCAACTTCAACTAATCCACGAAATTGAGCGACACATTCACCATTGTCTTCAGTGAGTTACTGGATGCGCGCTGCTGAGGAGTCCCACAATAGGACGAAACGGCCGTCCAGTGCTTTCAGGTTTTCCATGGTGGTCTAGCTTCAACTGACTCATGATCTTAACCATTGAAATTACTACAATCTCCACAAAAACGCATCTGATTTTAAATCAATCTATTAGCTTTCAAGAGTTTATGCAAGCATATTCTCCAATAGGATGAAAACAAAAGGAATAATATGGAAGAATGTCAACAGTAAATAGTTGAGAAAAATTATGATATAAATGGCAAACATTCATTAAAACATTAAATAAGCGCATTAGTCATACAATCAAAACAGATTCATTATTTAAAGTCATCTACAAGTAGAAATCTATCAAAGACATTTGAATTACTGAAAATTTCATCATACATTTAAAAATCCAACAGAAAGAACTATGCATACTAAAGGAACACATTCAACCTCTTCTTCTGCCATGGTTTGAATTATTATACATATGATATTAACTAGTAATTTGAGTAGTTTTTCTAGGAAATTACATATTTTAATTACACAGTAAATAATTTTCTTCTGAAAATAGATAACAAATTAGATAAAAATCAACTTACCTGAGTTTCAGTTAAACCAAGAGAAGTAGCCACTTCAAATCGTTTCGGTCTTGATAGATATTTATTCGATATAAATTGTTGTTCTAATTCCAATAATTGTTGACTAGTAAAAGCAGTTCTTGGTCTACGTGTTTTACCAATTAAAAAATTTGATGATAATCCAAATGAAACAGCTGATTAAATGAATATAGAATTAAAAATAAATTAGAAACAAAAAATGTATATATTTCTTGTTTGGATAATATTCAAATATAATTATCAATGTGGGCTTGTGAAGATTATTAAGTTTTTGATTGATATCATGAATGATTGATGTAAGACCACCATTAAAAATCTGGAAGCACTGGATGGCCGTTTCGTCCTTTTGTGGGACTCCTCAGTAGTACGCATTCACGATCCTGTTCGTGGGATTCAAACCCAGGGTCTTCGGTCTCAAGCGCGAACGCCTAACCTCTGGACCACTGAGCCGGCATCCAACGCTGCTAATGTCTAACCCCAACCAACCCACGAAATTGCACGACCATCTTCTATTGTACTGAGGTAGATACCTTTCTCTACCTGACAAAGGTTAGTTCCATTGGTCACGGCTTCTCACTGGAACTCCGAGAATCCCTTCAGGAAGTTAGTCACTAGTGAGCACCTGGTACTAGTTGATTTGTATAAGTGGTGTTGATTATTTTACATAAATGTTGTTTTCACAATGATATTCAATAATTTAAATAAATTGGGAAGAAATCAAGATATTTTGCAGTTGCTTCGTTCTAATTTAAGAGTCTAAATTAATAAGTAATATCGACACAGTGCAAAACACTAAATGATTTGTCTCCGTTGTGGATAGTTTCTCCTTACCACGTTATTTTCTTCAAACTTATCTATCATCCATCGAGAATCCATTAAAACATAAATAGGAGAGTGTAGTCAATTTGTATGTAAAAATACATACTTACGATGATACTGGCTATCAGTCATCTGATTTTGCTAAATAACTATTGACCTAGCAGGTATGTGTCATATTTTCGTCATGCTTTATCAATAATTAAGTTTAACAATATAGACTATTTGATACCGACTCAACTATCTAAGGATATCATGGTCACTGAAAAATCTCAAGGTTCTGAGTTTGATTCCTGGTAAGTTGATAGATGCACTCTTCTGAGGTGTCTTGAATCAAAATGAAATAGTCATTCAGTGCTCACTTTACTTCAATTGTTTTCCAGGTGAACTCAGTCCGTGAAGAGATACATATTTCAAAAATGATAACACAAATACTTTAAAATTTACTGAATTATTTTTGTTACTGAATATCATTTATGTTTAAGTATTGTCGACTCAAAATACTTTAGTGAATATATGCTTATTCTATTTGATTCAAGGTTAGGCTTTCCCAAAAAAATTATTAGGAGAAGTTTGATTCTTAAAGTTTCTTATTTAACCTGTTAAGGAACTGATAAACACCTGTATATCTTATGGAATCCCAATTACATTTAACGTGTACACAAGATAAAACTTAATCTAATTCACTGTTGAATTCGCGGAAAGGTTCGATACAGTAACGGACCTCGGAAAGTCTCCAGACGAACTCTTGAAAGTAATGTTAGTTGACTTGCTTTCATTTTATTCCAATCTCTATAGCTTCTCAATTCGATCTATAGTTCACATTAACATGGTTTGTTATAGCACGGGATAATGTTGATACACTAAAGAATTTGAAAACTCTATAACAAATGCTTTTACATGTGTTTTTCATATGAAGGTACAACCTTCCTATACACACGTTTGCTTACCTCCCATAGAGCTGTAAATGCCTGAATGAAACGTATTCTACACACTTGAAAAGCGTTTTAACCCTGACAATACTTTAACACGAGTTTTTGAACTATTCACAAGTAGTATAGCAAATTTTCATAAGCTTTTAAGACACAACTTGAACATGAAATGAATTCGGAGGCATTTTAGAGTTCACTCAGCCGAATAATAGCATAAAAAACAAGTTTTAATAATCTGCCAACTTCTCATAATTTGGCTTGAGTAGAATATCTAATGAACATAAAAAGGGATTGCGATGAAGCACTCCACATAAAGTCGACATAAGTTTAAACTCATGATTAGACTTTAGTTCGAACGCTTAGACAGTCTTACGATCCAACAATATATTTTAAGACTAACCGATAGAACCATCCATCTCCTCAACTTTTTAATCAGTTATCAGAAATTGATTGGTCAGTTATGTGTCAACATCCGTTTAGAACAATTCCATTAAATATTCATTTCTCTTTTGCAAAAGTTTGGATACATATTGATGTTATAGATAAAATTTTACTGATGTCCTTAAACATAAATGTAAATTCAGCAGATATACAAAGCTGGTGAGCTATAATGATTAAATACATATGGAAAATATTTGCACTATACACTTTACAGAAGGCTGAAATATTCTATTTATTAGTCAAACTTGGTCACTTAACCATGTTTCTAACTTGAAATTACTAAACTTGAATTTTTATTTAGCATGAATACAGACGCTCAATCATAAGCTGATGTAAGATTGGACAGAAGTAAATACTATTAATCTCTTATATTGCATAGTAATGAAGTTTGATATCACAAGTTGAATAACATTTTTAATCCTAGTCTGGTGGTTTTATTATCAGTGAATCTTTGAATCGATCCTAGTTATCTTAAAACGACAGTCTAGTAGTTGTAAGTAATACATAACTACCTAACATTGTAACGAGGTACTGAATCTTTAAATTACTTGGCTTTACTGAGATTTTAATTGACAGGTTTCTTCGTATACTAAAGAAAAGTGTTACACACTACAGACTATCATAAAAATCTTATTCGTCTTCCAACAACTAAATTAATTGTAATTGGTTATATATTACAAATGAAAAGTCAGAGCAACGTAACTAAAGGTTTAAATACATTTTTGGTCACTGACTGATTTAAGCTAGTAAACCACTAGTGAACTGTTTCGTACAAGTCTGAAAGCTAACCAATAATAAGTTCCTACGACCCAACAAGGATATTCTCTTTACACTTTTATGGATGTATGTTTTAGACAATATCTATAGTTTTGTCAATTCGTTATATGACTTTAGAATTATCGAATATAATTAACAATGGTTATAGCACTCCTAGCGTGGTTAAACTCTCCACAAACTACACAATCATTTCGGCAAATATTTCTTTTATAACAGTTGTTTCAAGATGATTTTTTTTCACACTTCAGAAAATATTTTTCGTCGTTTATGTTATCTTTCGATGGTTATGAACCTAGGTTGCAAGAGTTTGTACTTTCACGTTTCCTGATGCTGAGGAATACAGTCAATCAGTCTGGTAGTAAATGTGTATCCTAAACGGATTACCTCAGCATGTTCATGTAGTCACAAGTTTTTACAAAAGTTGGTTAGTGGAAGTCACTGTGAACCATGAAGCGCATTTCACTCTATTTGGGAAACGTCAGGCGGATGTGCTTGGATCCCAGTGTTAGTGTTCCCACTGACGTTTAAACCCAGCACATTTCACTTCAAACGCCAATATGTTATTAACTGAACTACTGAGTCCAAATAGCCACTTACTTGTGCAACGTGTGTTAATCTCGATGATTAAGAGTGAATCAACCAGTAATATTTGAGTTAAACACTGACCATTTAAAACTCATTTAAGTCCAGATTAATTGCTTTTATGACCCTATTTATTTAACTGCCATTCATGAAACTGCATCATTTTTTTATATAAATATAAATAAGGCTTTTTACTGCCCCTTTTGTTGTTTCCCCGCTACTGTTCAGTATACGTGTGTTTATTGTCCTGTTTGTAATTGACCATATTAATTTACGTCTTTGTACTAACTGTACTACTTTATATTTTAGGAACAGACTATATGCGTTGGCTACATACAGTTAATCGTTTGACCATAGCTGTGCTAAGACTTCGTGTATGATAATACAGGGACTTATTCAAGAAAGTCATCTGTAGGCGAATTGACTTCAACAATGAGTAGGAAGATAAACTGGTCTTTTCCAGTCGTTAATATCAACAACGGGAGAAGGAAGTCCTTTATAAACCAAATTCATATACGTTGCACAGGTTATAAGCTACCTAAACTCAGTAGATGACGCGTTGGCGTTTGAATAGAAAATTACTGGATATGAGTCCCGGTTTGAACATCAATATTGTAGTGCAGATTCACTCAACTGATGAGTCCTAAATAAAATGAAACTAGTTCTCTGATTTCCGCTGTTAGCTACCGACCAATAATTTATTAACCCAATTCCTATTCAATTTACAAGTGAAAATCCTCTAAGTGTCATGCTACTGTTCTTACTTTTTTTTTCAGTCTTAAATTTCTGTTGGAAAAAATTAAAAAATGGATCTTTTTCTTCTTTCAAAACAATTTCTATAGGTAGAAAGATAGAGAGAGACTAAGAAAGAGAAGAAATGAATATGAATGAAACATATTAAACAAACTATTTTGATACATGAAAACAATAATAATAATTTTCAGTATATTATATCAATTATCTGTTTTTCCCTTTACAAGTGCAATATAAACACTCTTCATATTCCTCATGCTTGATTGAAAATAAGGAAAACGTTTATCCAATCAAAATAAGGAAGAAAAATACTCAAGAACACATATATACACACAAACAGAGGGGTAGAAAATACAATGAAAACTATCTATATTTTTAATGGAAAGAGATGGGAATACAAAATAAACATCAATTCCCTATCATATTAACCAAGATTAGTAACTTAACTAACATAACAAAAATAGATAACTTAATAAAAGCAATCAAATCTCCATCTGTTTTTTAGTTACCTATTCATCAGTTGGTTGTTATTTTTTTAAAATCATTTTTAAGCTGGAGACAAAAATGATGCAAAATATCAACTAGGAAATGATATATATGTATATATATACGGTGTTTACAATTAAATTTCTATTGAGAAAAGAAATGTTTTTCTCCGATTTATTTATAATCGTCTACTATATGTTTTCTAGTTTAATATTTCTTTTTTCTATAATTATGAAAAACTGATTGCCGCAAATCAGTGTTGTTAAATGTATCAATATGTATAATTGTACTTTAAGTTATTACATTGAAAAATCAACGATAAAACTTGAAAATTGGTTTATAAATGGGGCAAAACAAAACAAAAACTAAACAATGACACAAGTATAAATGGCTTGTTTAAGTTTTAAATTTAGCGCATGATTCATATTTCTTTTTTAAAAAAACAAAACAAATAATATTTTGAAACAAAAAGGTTTTAATCTGTTTCAATTTTCAAAGTTGAATTTACAAGTTAATTCAAGTTAGACCATTATTGAAAACCTGGAAGCACTGGATGGTTGTTTTAATTTGTAAATTTTGTAAAAATTACACCATTCAGTTGATGAATAGTAAACATTGTCCAATCTCTGGTGTTGATTTAATTCTGTCAGTTTTTGGATTTAGATTTTTTTGATATTTGACTCTCTAGTAATTTTTAATTTTAGGGAAATAATGTTCTCCATAAGGTTATAACCAGTATCACTGAATGTCATGATCAGAGAGGTAACCATTGTATTTTGATCATGTTATGATATTATAAACCGAATGATTCCATGAAACTTAATCGATTTATACTATTTATTATTCAGAAAAAACCAAAAGGATATTTTCTTCAATGAGTTCAATAAATTGTCATGTTGTTTCATTAGACTTCTAAGAAATCAGACTGTCTCCTAACAGTCATCATTTGTTTCTTCTACATAATATATACCTGTGGCATCTTGTTAAAGAAAAATTCAATCATTTGGGGAAAATCGGCAGATGGAATGATTAGTTGATGTGAAAGCAAATCACCTGAAACATCCGAACCATTCTCATTTTGTCCCAGTTAGATAGATGTTTTTTTATTTAAACGTATACTTGCATTTAGGCAAATACTATAAAGTGAAGTTAACTGATTTCAAAGTTTACATGAAAGGTAGTGATAAGTCAAAAGAAGATGTATTTGTAAATAAACTACACTTCGGTGAAACTCTCTAAGATTATATCAGGAATCATCTCAATCAGTTACCTTGAGTTCTGTAAATGCAGATTCATAGTCATAATTATCATTATCAGCATGATGTGTTAATGAATCTTCAAAACTATACTTTCTAATATTTTAAGCATTAACAATATTTTCATAAACATAAATATCGTTGAATAAGCTTCGATATGATATTATTAAAGTAAGAATATTTAATTTTAATAGTTGAATTCATGAGCTAGACTACCACTGAAAGCCCAGAAGCACTGAAGGGCCGTTTCGTACTAGCATGGGACTCCTCAGCAGTGTGCATCCACGACCCCGCACGTTCAACTCGAACCAAGGACTTTTGGTCTCGTGTACGAATGAATTCAACTATTAAAATTACTATAATCTCCCCAAATTCCCATTCTAACAATGATAATATTTAAGTTATATATTTTTTCTTATACGGCCACAGTCATCTGGAAACAAGAACACAATGTAATAACAATTGATTGTCAAATCATAATTTCAATGGAATCTTAAAAATAACAACACCAAATTGGATGTTCAAAATTGGCTGCTATTAAATCAACTCAACTTCATAAACGTGACAGTCTGCTTAGCGACCAATCAGAATGAAGCGGGAATTATTATATCCGCCATCTTGCTATGCAATGGCGACCGGCTCTCTTCGTTCTGTGTTTTTTCCGCTATTTGTTTTATGTAGCTACAGAATTTAGTGTTTCAGTGGGCTAAAATGCAGAAATTAATGTAATACTCTAAATGTTGGAGGAAATTGTTTAATGACAGTGATCTTGAAATATGGTCAGTGATAGATGTACAGTCTAGAAATAAACACGAAACATACTTATCGATATCTTATAATGCATGACAGCAACAGCAACAAAGGCACGTTTTTTCCTATTTTTAATCAGACTGATTTGAATCAGTATACTCATTAGAAAGAGGCAGCTCTACTTACTAAACTGATCTGTTTCGTTACAGGCTTCAAACACTATACTTAAGTATACCATAATTCTTTCGACTAAACTGAATTATACGACAACCAAGAATACTAAACCAAGCAAGTGTCATAATTATTGTTTCAGTTGCACAGACATGTTGCTCAAAGTAGTTAAATGTACATAATTAAGCCGATAAAACCAAAACACGAAATATAAGCCAGTCGCGAACTTACCTAACAGAAGACAAAGGATATATATTGCTTTCAGACTGAAAACAACAATCAGTTGTTCATAAAAACATAGTTTACCGTACAACAAACTATTCTTCAGTAACACTATGCACTGACGGTCTATCTGGAAACAAACAACTATGCGATTAAACTCACTATGACTTGGGATATCATCCCAGCGTGCAATGAACGTACAGTGTAGCGCAGTCAAGTGTGGCGAATAAAAATTACAACCAGAGCAAAATTAACAGCATAATCTAGATATTTAATAAAAAATACATCATGAAATGACAAATTCTATGATTACTTGAACGCACAGGTGACCGTCATTACACTGGGCGATACATTAGGTTTACATGGTTGCGTCGCAGTTAAAATCACCCTCGAAATTCAATGTACCTTGAGTATGAAGTACAGTGAAAATTCATAGCATGTTTCTAAATCCTCTTGTATTTACATTTACAATAACTTTTATGTTTGCATATTGAATAAAAAGAGCATTCTATTGACAGACAACTTCATTAATTCTAATAAACTATACAATATTTCGCATAAAGTACCAATAATTCAAATTTATTTGTTTATTTTTTGTAAATTAAATTAAGTTCATCTGAAATTCAACTTCAATTTTAGTGTGTGTTAATATTTAATTCTTTTAAATTAGTTACTTATCATTATGATTAACGAACTGTTTAAATGCATTGTCTGCTCTTTCTCTCTCTCTCTTGATCTATTTCTCTTCAACATTAAACTTTACTTGCTATCTCCCAATCATCCAGTTTCAATAAGACAATATGGAAGGGGTAACGATTTAAAAATTAATCTTTATTCCTTTCGTTTATTTTATTATTTTTTTCTCTTGATATTTCTCGTTTTCTTTCCATTTTTTCCATTAAGCATAAACACACATCTGCCAACTAAATAAACTCATAATTAATTCTATTCTTGATTATATCCTATCAAAGAAGAAAAGAATATGCAGATTATTTTTCTTAGTGTTTTTATTCGGGATTGATTATATATGTTCAAAATTTCCTTTTAAGCTGCCTTCAGGGTTAATTTTCCGTTGTTGTTGTTGTAGTTGTTTGTTTGTTTGTTTTTATTCCTCCAGTTATCTTTCGTTCGATTTATCAGTCTGTCTTCCAGTATTTTTGTTGGTTATCTACAAATATTCACTTTAGTAGGTTATTATTCGTCTCATTTTAGTGTTCATTACAATATATATACGCATACTTACTTATCTACTATGTAAAATTAAGGAAATGCAAATGTAGATGATTAGAAAATTAAAACTCATCAACTGTAATCATATTTTTTTGTTTTTCTTCACTGACTAATTACAATTGTTTAAGTAGCTTAGATTTTTTTAATAAATAAAATACACACATACACACGCACAATATGTCAGCATACTAACCAATGAGTATAAGGAATATTATGGATTCATTTATAGGGATAATATTTATACATCATATCAAAAATATTCTTTCTTTTCTTTCATCCCTGTCTACTAACTAATCATTTTTTGAAATTATACAAATGGTAAATTATGCCTGATTAGTTTGATACAACCTGTTTGTTCATTTGTCAATAGTTTTTGTCTCTTTAGAAATTTTTTGTCTTTCAAAAATAACGAATAGATTAATAAGAATGAAATGAATGATGAAATGTGATTTGGAAATTTTTTTTCCAGAAAAAAACTCTTCTGAGAGAGAGAGAATAATTTAAAAGATAAATTACCATAGAAATATGAGGAGTTATTCTATGGTTTGATTTTATTTTTGTTAAGTTTACAGTTCTAAACTAATTAAAGGTATGAAGATAAATTTTTCAAATGCTCATTCATCCAACATTGAAAATTAGCCAATCTATATAGGTTGTACATGTAGGCATTCACAAATATAGACATATACACATACATACATAGATACACATATACATTGGAAAGTAAACAGATTTGATGAGTTTAATATACATTTTCTTTAATTCAAGACATACTATCAATTCATTGTGGTTATTTAATATCTTTCCTAATTTTTTCTTTCTTCTATCATTCATTTTATAGTTTAATTTAATATCGAATGTTTACTAATGAAAGAAAATGAAGAGTATTTTTCTTTAGTCCAAAACTAATTGGTTTATACAAAAAATAACTGTAATTAAATTCAGTAGGCAAATGAGGGCGGATGGTGAGGAATATATATATATATATATATATATATTATATATATATATATATAATATATATATATATATATATATATATATATATATATATATATAATTTAGTTAGGGGAAGTTAATCGACAGTCAAAACTAGATTAAGTTCTTATTTCTTTTTGTAAAAAGAAAAGAGTGACAAAATAGACGAATTCACAAAATGAAAGAAGATTGATTGCTGTTGTCAACGTATAGTTCTCATCAATTGACGTACACCAAATTTTTCACTACCGAACCCTCTCTACTCACTGACTATTACGATAGAATGAATAAATAGAATAAATTATTATTCACCTGACTGCATAACATAAAATAAACGAAATTATTTTAAGTTTTCTACCACCTAATTTTCCATTTAATCATTGTTAGTTAAAGCCCTTATGATTTATTTCAATGGTCAAGTGTATTTCTCTTAAATTTTTACAATTAGTGAGTTATATATACATATAAAAGTAGTTAAAAAACTTAACTGAAAATATTGTAAATTACTTAACTTAATTATCCATATATTACCCTCTTTCAACAAAAAAAGAAATGCCACTTTTTATTCTTGTTTTTAAATATATTTATATACAAGAAAGAAAAATAAATAAATTCATTCCTATAAATGATATGTATAACTGATATTCATAAGAAATTGATAACACGGGGTGACACATAGGACTGAGGAACACTGGACATTTGTTTTGTCCTAGTTTTCAACTCTTCAGTAGTACCCATTCACGAAATAACCAGAAACTCTACTCAAGACACTGACGTTTCTTCAGGGCCATGGGTTAGTTGATATCTAATGGTACATATTTCAAAACACGGTAATTTCTTCAGTTGAGTTCAGACGTTCTCAGAGTGAAATTGTTGTTACTATCATTTTGAATGGACTAATTTCGAAATGTAGACGACGAAATCAGCTGTCAAATTATTGGTTCCGAGATAGGAGTTTCCTATGAGAAAGGAATCGTATGGATTTGGTCCCTGATAGGCTCATGTACGTATACTGCTGAGGGGTCCTATTTTATGATTAAACAGTTTTCTAGTGCTTCCCAGTTTCCAATGGGTACCATACAAGATCAATTTGTGGCGGATACTACCTAAATAATAAATTATTCTTCAGAAAACTCTTAAGTAAATAACAAGAAGAAGAGATCATACACAATTCTATGTAAAGAATAACGTAATCATTCCTCTCAGTACTTATTATGTGACCCATAAAATCAGCATACTGTGGAACTATCCAGTAAATAATGCTTTACCTAACCTACTTTATTTTCACTCAAAAACACACTCACAGTGCGTGATATGATGCATAGCTTATTGCAATCTAAAGGTATTATACGAGATAATACTACTTGATATCATTCAATAGGTTGTAGTTACCTGACAAACTAGAAGAGTTCAAACATTGATAACATTCTCAACACTCCCCTAGTAATATTTATTATCTCTGAAAATCGAGATTCTGATGTTGGGGATATAATTTCCAGCTCCAAGTTATTTTATTAATTTCATATCTGACGTAACCGGTTCTTAAGAACAGTTTCGTATACTCAGCTTTCAGATAGTATTTTGATAAGAACTAGTAATATTCTCCATTGAATCTAATAAAATTATGTGGTAATTGTCCGAACTTTCAACGTATTAGTAAAATGATTAACACCTTAACCACTATGCTACTGCTTTAGAGAAACACTATTCTTTGCCCAAGTGAACTATAACGCATTTTATGGTCTTTAATTCTGTCTCATATTTCATGTTTACTTAAGACAAAGGTATTTTCCTTCCAATGTTCTCTCTGTATGACTTAAAATTTGAATCAATCCATGCGAATTATTAAGACTGTGAAATTTGAACATTAAAGTTTGACTATTACTATGTGACAAATGTATTTCTTGTGTTATATTTAAAAAATCATACGGAACTAAAACCTTACATAATATTCGAATTTTAATGTTTAATAGTTAGATCAAGAAGATTCTGCTTTAGAATCCTTATGGACTTGAACTAAACAACCAATTAGTCCAAATTTGAAGTTTCACCTACAACTCATCATGTTCTTCTAGTTTGACATCGTAATACTCCGTTAGTTGAGAATGAGCGATTGGAATATTTCAATGTTACTGAGAAAACTAACAAGAAAATGGAAAATGAAACTGATTGGTTGCAAAGTAGATAATTTGAACTGTATATCTAGTCATATACTAGTCATTCCTTTTGGAATATAGCTGCTGTGAATATTGTCTTTACCATCAAAAAATCATTGATTTTTCGTAAGCATTCAATAATTTGAATTTGATGAATTAAAGTCTTAGGAACTTAAAATGATATATATGTACTGAAAATTATCATAAACATCCAATATGAAGTCAAATCAATTCACCTTATTAATCATGAGTCTTTAACCAATTTAACTGTATATTAAAATTAGTTAACAAGAATTCACTTTCTATGTGTGGATATATGCATGTTAGGTTTTTAAATAACTAAATTATTATCATTTATGGTGAAAACAATAATGAAATTTTATGAAAACCTAAACTTAAAACAATAAAACAGTAAATCCAAACGTGACTGTTCAACGATATTACACTACCTGCAAGATCAGTTTCTGTATTTTAGAAGGAAAAAACACAACAGCACTTGTGATGTAATGTAATTTTGAAATAAGAATGACAATATGCACATACTGATTTGATAATGGTTCACTAAAAAAGCAAACAAATTAAAACTTTCTTGTGAATTAAATTATCTAGTATCATCCTTTGGCATTCAGTTATTGGTCCAAGATATTCTTATTGCAAAATAATTAAAGTAGTTCGAAGAACCAAGATCTAAGGATAGCCATTAGTCGGTTATGATCCTTCTGAGAAATTCACAATTATTCTTTAGAAATGGAACTCGCTGTTTTAATGGTATACTTGGAAAATACATATTCGCTTTACTTTTTAGTAACCTCAAATGAAACCGCTTCTGTGATCACATTTAATATAAGTTTTCCTAATGTCATGTTGGATGTCATCATTATAAATAATACAAGTTTTTAATTATCTACACTTTCAAATACTGAGATTTTATTATTTATCTACCTCATTCATATACAAGCAAATCTAGTTTAGAGATACCAAACAAATAAATTAACTTAATCGAATTCCTAGTATATCAGCTTGTCACCAAATTCATAAATTAACATTGACAACTGTCCTTAAAATTATTGTTTAAATTCTATGCACACACATTATATATCCATTGGTTTCACTGTCAAACGCCTGAACTAGTCATAGCGAAAATATTTTCACTGGGTTGCTATGGTGACATCTGATTATCTATTTAATTCTGTGCGCACATATGCACTACATTCCACTTTATTCTTACTTTAGTTCATGTTCTCTTCTGTTCTGCTTATCATTTACTCAATTTTTCAAAAAAAAATATTTATCCAATGTTTCACACAAACTACTTTCTCACTTATCTTATAGAATAAAATTTGCACTCATTAAATTCAAACTTTTCAAAATTTCAATTTTTGAAATGTCTGTTAAGGTCACAAATGGTTTAGGTAACCTTGGTTTTATATGAAGAATATTAAATAAACCATAAACAAAAGAAATAATTAGAAATGCATGCTGTAAAAACGAAAAAAAATTAATGAATCAATTTGTCTTAATTTTTATTTGTTTCTCTCTTTCTTTCTTTTTTTAAAAAAATTTACAACTGAAAATGCATTGTTTTTGTTGTTAGTTAAAACTTCAGCATAATGGAAGGAGGGATTTCAAATAAATTGAGTAATTCTATGTTACTTTAAGAGAAAAAAAATCATTTCCAAATTTATTGAAATTTAGCATTTATCATCGTCATCATCATCTTATCATCACAGTGATCATTATCATAATCATTCTAGTCATGTTTAATCATGCATGTAATTAACTATGATTTGTTGATTAAGCAATAAAATGTAACTTAGCATATTTATGTGTATGAAAGCACAAATACATGTACACTTACACAAATACATATAAACACACATACATAGTGGTAAATAAATGCATATATATATATATATATATATATATATATATATTGTCAAAGTTAAGTGAACTCCTTCTTCGTTTTAAACAAAATTCAATGTTTAATATTTTTTTAATTAATTATTGTTTTCACTCTTTCTTTTACTATGGATGAGTACAAAACGGAATGAAAGAATAAAGTGAAATCTGAAACCTAAACATTGTGATAAAGATTACTGAGGACACAAGGAATTCATGAATAATTGATTGACTGATTAATGTAAAATTAAAGTTTAGAAAATAAAATGAATTAAATAGAACTTTTTGTACTTCCTTTGATGACCTTATTTAAACATTTAATTATTATTCTGATGTAGTGAATTTTATGTTATATATATATATATATATATATATTGCGTAATGTTTATTTACGTATTCTTCAGTTCATTTAATTTTGTCTGATAATTTATTTATGTTAATAACTTAGTGATAAGAAGAAATTGTTAACTGTAAAATTATTCCGGTCAAGTGTGAATATAAATAATTACTGATCTTAAATGGGGAAAGGGAGGGAGAGAGAGAAGTGTTAGTAACATGTAATAAATTATTTTGAAATCGAATTATATTCATTCATAAATTTTATTGAATATGACGTTAGAAATTGTTGAAAGTAGAAGTCGATGAATAGGATTTTTATTATTAATAAAGAAGTTTGTAAAGATTATTCCCTGTTTATTGATTTTCTAATAAGTCCATTCAACTATTGCATTATTTATCTGCTCACTGTAATTTAGACACTTGATCCAACGTGTAATTTTCTGTATGATATCTAATTGAGCACATGTCTGCACATCAATCTTTAATCTATTCTCCCATTGGTTGTAATACACAGGCAATCCATACTTGATTAACACTGAAAAATATATATGGATTTTTAACACACACTCTTGGTTTCCCTGTGTGCTTGATTCCTGTACGCTTACCTATTTTACCAATCTTTAACAATAAACTATCTCTATAACTGGCGTTCAGGCTTTTGAATAATCTCGAGTAAATTCATAATTATACTAGGAGATTTAGTCTGCATTAAATACCCAGTTAATGGAATACTATTTCTTGGAGCAAACTAGCCTCTACAATTTCATGCATTGATCTAAGTTAGACATATATTAAAAACTAGGAAGCACCAGAATAACTATTTACTCATAATATGGTACACCCCAGCAACAAGTCTAAACAAAAATATCGACTAAGACATTTAAGTTTTGATTAGTTATTTAAATGATGACAGTTTATGATGTACATTTTATTTCATACTCATAAAGCTAATTAACAAAAATGATTACCTGATGAGTTTGTAAAGCACATTTAAAACAACTAATTTCTTGGTTTCAAATTAAAAAAGAAAAGAAAAGAAAGTTAAAGCACTATGTACTAGTAGTTTATATTACATCATAAATAATTAGCATATTTCAGTCATTAAAGTATATACTAGTGTGAGATGAAAAGAAAAGAATTTTTAAGTAGAGATGTAGGTTTTTGAATAATTTTTATATTTTAGATCCGAAATGGTTGAACTGTAACATTTCCATCGTCATTAACATTCAGTAGATGTTGAAATTGTTCTCTACTAGTAAGCCATTTAATTTAAGGAGTACAATACAATCAAAATACTAATTTGAATAAGGCTTCAACATATAATTTACTCTTTTTCATATTTAAATAACATAAAATGAAGTCTGTAAATTACAGTTGTGCGACTAACATATTTTGAGTATTAATAAGTAACTATTTGAGTTTATACACAACCGAGTCTGTTGTGAGATAGTAACTCACTGAAGAAAATGGTGGATGTGTTGCTCAGTTTCGTGGGTTAGTTGAAGTTAGACATTAACACCGTTGAATGCTGGTCGGTTCAGTGGTCTAGAGGCGAAGCGTTCGCGCGCGTGACTGGTAGGTCCTGTGTCCAAATCTCGCGAGGCGGGATCATGGATGTGCACTGCTGAGGAGTCCCACAATAGTACGAGATGGCCGTCCATTGCTTCCAGGTTTTCCATGATGGTCTAGGTTTAATTGGCTCATGATCTTAACTATTAAAATTACTATAATATCCACAAAACCCCTTCTGATACTTATAAAATTTATATTGAAATCTTGAGTTTGATTGAATATTCTACAATTTCCTCTTCTTAGCACTGTTAAATTAAGATCCAGTAACTGTCAATTTCTCTATGATGTCTAGTGATATATATTATATTGAATATTTTTCAAATAAATTTAATGTTTTTCTGCTTATTATGTTTCAATGATATTGTAGTAGTAGATGATTCCTCCTAAAATAGATAGCTTTGTAAATACTTGACAGTAATGTTGATCACCTTAGTTTTATTGGACATGCCACTAGTTGAATGGGCTTATTCGAGCATCCTGTTCAAATTGTTTCCGCATCTTGCAGAATACATATGATAATTAATCAGCTTAAATATTATACTCTATTATGCATTTGGCCATTATTTACTTGTCATTGGCTTCTGTTTTTATTGGATTCAGAAGAGAAGTGAACAGCAGTAAATTTTGAGTATTCGGAGTTTTTTCAATGTGACATGATAAATTGTGAATATTTTTTGTCATTACTTGTGTCTTCTCAAAAAACAAAATCAATTAATTTCAGATTTTGTTGAAATTTCAAGGATTTCAGAATCAATCAATTCCTACAGTTAGATCTTAATTTGAATAAAAAACATTATCTTTTGACTACTGACATGTTAGAAACTATTCAACTGATTTGGCTATTTGAAAAAGAGAATTCTAATAAACGGTTTGCGTAGTTTGAAATAAATTCATCTTGCACCCCTCACATTAAAAACTTTTTCACTTATCCTTTAGGTACGTATTGGATGTACAAGAGTGATGCAGTTGAATAGTTGGCAAACGAACGAAATATAAAATTTATTCTAACATTCACTTAATAACTTTTATTGGACATAATTCTAGTAATATGTGCTATGGTACCGTCTTAATTGATAGGTACATACATTGATTGACCACTAATTAGGTATCAATATAGTGCTTGCTTAGTGTGATTAAATTCTACTGAACAAATTAAAATGTGGCTACTGGTTTGAGTAACTCCACCTGTGGCTCTTCTAAAGTTACTGTCGGTCCCAAGCCAGGGTAAAGGAGGAGGGTTGAGCGTTGGGTCAGTAACCTCATCCTGTAAAAAACAATCCAGCCAAAAAATCCCAACCAGATTAAACAGATAAAATACTAGTCTGAGTGGCTCAACTCCAAGTGTTAGATGGTTAGCACTCCTTAATAAAGTGTACCTGGAGTCTTGAAGTAAGTGGTACACCCTTAAGGATTTAAATTCAGCTACTAAAAATAACATGAGTAACTAATTACATCAAGTAAATGTTTGTACCGTCGACTTTGCAACATATTATTCAGTGTTTAGACAGTTTATATGGCAAGTGTGTTGTATTTCCTATATCATAACTCATTTAACAAGTTAGTCATGCTAAGTAATTGATATTTCCGGGAACACTATCAGTTTATATATTAATGATAATTATATGCTTACTGATCTTTAATACAACACTTTATTCTATTTATTAGCAGTGTTATCGCTAATGAGCTTACCTCGTGTTCTCCATATGATCAGATATTTTTTTCTGTTGAATATAAGTAAACGATAATCTCAACTTTCTTATCTAATTTTAATGGTACAGTATTGCCTAAACTAAAATATTTATAATTTCGAAAATTTCCATTATCATTCATTAGTTTCTAATATGTATAGAAGTGTGTTATATCGATTTTGTAACTTGTTTCGAGCTTATCTATAAACCTAATTCATTAAACTAATATCAAAACATGTAATTATTTCCCATTAATTGATTGGAAATAATAAAATGGAATAAAAAATTTATTTTATTCAAGAAAACTTATTATTTGGTTCACAAAACTGAAAATTATTTATTCAAATAGTTTGAGTACATTAGTGTATATGATAGAAAAATTACATTGATAATTCAATAATAAGAATTCACCAACCACTTTAAAATAGAAATCATTCAAAGAACACATATATACAAATTAATAGTACTTCTATGTACTTTTAAAAAAAAATTGCATATATATTTTGTGATTTTTACACTTGATTTTTATATCAAGAGTATAATTTATTGATATCAGGAGGGTTTTCGTGAATATTATAGTAATTTCAATGGTTAAGATCACGAGTCAATTGAAGCTAGGTCACCATAGAAAACTGGAAGCATTGGACGGCCACTTCATAATATTGTGGGACTCCTCAGTAAGGCGTATCTACGGTCCCACTTCGCGTGATTCGAACCCAGGACCTATCGGTTTCAGTTATAAGGTCTGTTATGAGATAGTAACTCATTGAAGACAATGGTGGATGTGTTGCTCAATTTCGTAGATTAGTCGAAGTTAGACATTAACACCGTTAAATGCTGGTCGGTTCAGTGGTCTAGAGATGAAGCGTTCGCGCGCGTGACTGGTAGGTCCTGTGTTCGAATCTCGCGAGGCGGGATCATGGATGTGCACTGCTGAGGAGTCCCACAATAGTACGAGATGGCCGTCCATTGCTTCCAGGTTTTCCATGATGGTCTAGGTTTAATTGACTCATGATCTCAACCATTGCAATTATTATAATTTATTGGTTGTAAACATAACAAATTATCAAAGAATATAATGATTAACATAAAAAACTAGTCTTAGTTAATGAGTGACTGAAAAATAGGAAACACTATATAGTTATTCCATTCTGATATGGAACAGCTCAGTAGTGTATATCTATAACCCTATTAAGGATAGAACCCGTAACTTTCAGGTCTCGCAGCAGTGGATTCACCTTCAGACTATTGACGATGCATTTACTAGTTAACTTATTTAGTTTAAGTCAATCAGTGGCATTACGTAACGGTTTTCCAAGATCTCTGGTGATTAATCGCTTCCAATTGGACATCTGACAATATATAAATGAACCGACAGTATCTTTACTATTGTACTTAGTTGTAACACGTTAAAAAATTAGAAGCTTCCATTTATTTCATATAATGTTAAGTATTTAAGGGGACAGGAGAAAAAAATAAATCACATAACCATATCTGGATTCTCCGTTTTAATGTGAAACTATATAATATTCATCCTCGAATAATTTAAAACCGACAACTGTAGATGTATGTTGATTTTAAGCAATGTTGATCATCTTCACTTCACCGGGGTTTCACGTTAAGTATATTGAAATACATTTGTTGACCACCTCCATATTGCAAACATTCTAATACTTAATTATCGATTTTGGTTATTGATACGACACTTTAGCTTATTTAATGAACTTACTATTTCCATTTACTGAATAATTCTTAAGAACGATAAACTTATGATTTATTACTGTTTATGTTCTGCTTTCGGTGTATTCTGAACTTTGATATAAGCTTACTAAGTAAAATGCTTTGATTATTCTTTTCAATATTTCATCGGTTTGTTTTCAGATATCTTACCAGAATAAAGTTTAATTAGTAGTCTTATGCAGAGTAATTATCAACTTACCATGACCTTCAAAATACCGTTTAATAATATTGGAATTATACCAGTGTATTTGTGATTGTAACATTTGGTTAGTATCTAAATGTTTCTTAGATACATCGTCATTATGATTTTCAGTTGTGAATATTTTCATACTTTTCAAGCTTTGTCAAACTTTTTTGTATTAAAACTACCATTTTTATAATTGTCATTTGCATCATGTATATTCGAAGTATCATAAAGTGATTTGGTGACTAAATTTAATTGTGCATCATTTGTAGACCACTTTCTGATCAATGTTTCAGTAAAATTATCGATCGTATTACTAGCAGTTGTGGAAGTAATATCAACTGTATTGTTATCATTACTATTATTATCATGGTCACGTCTAATCTTATTGATGTGAGTGAACAAGGAAATTAATTCGTTATTTTTCTGCAAAGTATGATCCGAACTATAGGTATTATTGTTACAGGTTTCATTAAGATTTGATTCATTCTTATTTTGATAATGTTTGTTAAATGTCCAATCGATTTGATCCATTGATGAATGGTTTTCGGAATTCTTGTTATTAGTACTATCATTATTCCCTTGATGTTTCTGTCTTAAAGAGGTTCGATCATTTTCATCAACATCTTGTCTTTGAATTGAGTCGGATGGATTTTTTAAATCATGAAAATCATCATGGTGTAATTTAGAACAGAAAATAGAGTCATTTACTGACCTTGTTGATCGTGTTATACCAAACGGTAAATTCACTTTAGAAATCATTGTTGTACACAGTGAATTTGTCTGAAAAGAATTGTTATTTTGTAAAAATAGATTATGTGTATTATTGTTTTCACCGTGCATAATACAATTTGAATTATTACCAACTGTACTTTGAGCATTATCATAGATATGTTCATCATTATTTGTATAATTTAGATTGTTCAATAATTTTGTTTTATTACCATCTAACAGTGAAGCTATTGAAAAAGCATGATCCATTGTATTGAGTTGTACCAGTAACAATAATCAACAAAAAAATTAGACAGGAATTTATAGGATAAACGCTGTTATATGTAAATAATTAATTAATCTGTTTAGTAGTTTAAAATTAAATACTCTGGGTAATAAGAATAAGTTCACTTTGTAAATGCAAAACTGTTTTAAATACATATGATTATTGCATAATGATTATTTTAGTATGTTGATTCGTTTGTTTGAGAAGATTTTAATGAATTTTTTCCTCAATTTTAATCACCTCTTCATTAAATTATATTATCATCAATTTTTCGCAAATGTAAAAACATTTTCTTCATAATGCGTTTTATTAACCAATCAGAAAGGAATAAAATAAAATCATGCGTATTTACACGGTTATAGATATTTATCTTCAATGTGATTGGATAAACATGTATATAGATAGATAATTTTTCCATGAATATATATTTATTGTTCTACATTTAATAGCCCATGTTATACACAATATTTTTTTAACGTGTCACTTCTTGTACTTCTAGTCATTTTTTTATATTAATTTGGTGGGTAAGTTCTTGTTATAAGAGATTAATACTTATTAAGGATATCGTTTCAAACTTCACCTTTCACTTTATTTATTTTTCATCTAAATAACTCCACACTCTTGAAAAGAAATCTATGAAACTTATGCATTGATATAAAGTACTCAAAGAACGGACACTGAAAACGTTACGAGTAACTTCAGTTTATATAGTACTTCGATCACGTCATAGTTGTGAAACAGATGTGTGATTTTTATCCCATTTCATCTAAATTATTAGTGAGGTAGGATCCTGACATTCCTTGATATTCATTATAGTGTAAAGCAGTTTACTTCATTAGTCAAAAATCTCAATTCACATTGAGAGAGTGTGTATGAATATGAACCACTTACCAAATCAGGAACTTGTGTCTATTACTTTATGTTAAATAGTTTATTTGATGACATACAGAAAGTAATAAGTGAAATCTATCGAAAGCTATTGGTATTTCAGACAACCACTAAACTTTAAAACCTTATCTACATAAAAAAAATTTTATTTCATGAAAAACCACGTTAGCTAATTTTACGAAATCCATCAAGAAATCTGCTTCAGTCTTATGCCATATGCGGTTTGTGTTCCAATGAATACCAATTACTTGATACACAAGGTGCCATTTAAAGATTTAAAAGAAGGAAGAATGACAATATTTGCAGAATACTATGAATCCATTGTCTTTTGTCGTTTTCTCTTCAGCCAATATGTTTAACTATTAGTCAGTAGTATAATATACTAACTCTGCCGGTAGCCCTATTAGGTTTGCTGCGGATCCCGAGCTCGGGTAAAAGAGTATGGTTGGGTTGAATGAGAATATTATGGATCCAGGATCATCAAAGCACTATTCAAAACATAGGAGAGAATCATAACGAATATTAACCCATGTTATACACCCACTAATGATGGTAATGACGACGACAAAAGTCAGTTTTAAGAGATGTAGTCGGTCATAGCAAACTGCCTGGGAAAATACCTGACAATCCTGATGTGAGACCTAAACGCCAAAGCCGGAATGGAAAACACCAGGTATGAAGATATCATGGGATGACGTGCAATCGGAGAAAGGAACGAGAATGGTGACAGACTTGTAAGTCTATATACCTTTGTAGTGACACACATTTATCACGAGAACACGACTGGTTTAATAAAAACAATTATTATTATAACCAACTGTACCAGTGTTTATTTTAATGCGCTTTTGTTTGACTGTGCTAATGACAGCTATATTGTGCTTCCATTCTTATTCTCACACTTTGATTGTGACTTCGCGCGAATTCGGTTACGTTCTGTAACCAAGCTTGTATCCTGGCACGATCTCGGTATCCTTTCGATACCACGAGATCGCCAGCGAATATATCTCGATTTGGTCCATTAACTGCCTTCTGATACCTGGCTTCTCGGGGATTTTATGGATTTATTTGGTTACGTTCAACCTTCGCCTTCTGATTTACTTGAAACGTGATTCTCTGTAGCGGTGTTCATAGTCAATCCCCACGCTACACCTTCAAACATTGGTTATAGGAGGCAGTATTCCCCCTCGAAAATGCATGCCTAAGGCTACATGTGACTCACCAGATCATATTACAGAGAATCAGATCAATCATTGAAAAATTCAGAAGGTTGATAGAAGATGTGAGGACCAGGAGAGGAGTTGGAATATCTGAAGATCACCACCTGGTGGTTGCTAAAATGAAACTGAGGCTAAAGGAACACCGGATAACTGAAGAAACAGCATCACGAAGGTCCAATATAGACTTCCTTCAAGACGAATCAGTAGATGGAAAGTAGTAGGCTCAGACAACCTACCTGCTGAAGCACTGAAGTCACATACAGAAATAACTGAAAATATGCTCCAAACCCTATTCATGAAGATTTGGGAGGAGAAACAAGTGTCGATGGACTGGAAAGAAAGATACCTCACCAAGATTGTAAAGAAATGATATCTGAGCGAATGTGAGAACTACAAAGTCATCATAATACTATATATACCAGGAAAAGTTTTTAATACAGTGTTGTTGAACCGCAAAAATACTCAGTAGATCAGAGAAGGGCTAGACTTCGTAAGGGTCGGTGGTGCACAGACCAAATTGCAACACTACGGATTATAGTAAAGCAATCAACTGGATGGAACTCGTCACCATACGCCAACTTCCTTGATTATGAGAAAGCATTTGGCAGTGTGGACAAGAGAATATTTTGGAAACTTTTTCTACACTATAGAGTACATGAGAAAATCGTTAATACTATTCGGAATTCATACGACGGACTACAGTGCAAAGTCGTGCATGGATGATAGCTGATAGACGCATTCCAAGGGATGACCAGAATCAGACAAAGATGCTTACTCTCCCCCTTTCACTTTATTCTCATGGTTGGATGGATTGTGAATACCTACACATTCGAAGGTAAACACGGCATACAATAGACAGTATGGATGCGGCTATACGATTTGGACTTCACAGATAGTCTGAAACTTCTATCCCATACACACGAACAATTCCAGGTCAGGACAAAAAATGTAGCATCAGCCTCTATATCAGTAGGCCTCGACATACAAAGGGGAAAAAGCGAGATCCCCAAATACAACACAGAGAACACCAACCCAATCACACTTGATGGAGAAAGTCTGGATGAGGTGGAAACTTTCACCCACCCATCTGGGCAGCATCATCGATGAACAAGGAGATTCCGATGAAGACGTCAACGTGAGGATCGGTAAAGCAAGGACATTATTCCCACACTTGAAGAACATATGCAACTCAAAACGATTGTCAACCAATATTAAAGTGAGAGTCTTTAATACGAACTTCGAGACAGTTCTATTGTAGGGAGCTGAAACTTTGAGAACTACTGCAACGATCATCAAAAGGGTCCAAGTATTTATAAACAATTGTCTATGCAAGTTACTGAATATCCGTTTGCCGGATATCTTCAGCAACAACCTATTATGGGAAAGAACAAACAGACTTTCAACTGAATAGGGAATTGGGAAAAGTCGTTGGAAGTGGATAGAACACACATTTCGGAGTTCATCAAACTGCATCACGAGACAAGAGCTAACTTGGAATCCTGAAGGTAAAGGGAAAAGAGGAAGGCCGGAGAACACACTGCGTCGATAATTGGAAGGAGATATCGGAAGGATAAATAGCAACTGGAAAAGATGGCTCAGAATAGAGTTGGATGGAGAATGATGGTGGTAGGTTTGTGATCCTCTATTAGGAGCATCAGGAATAAGCATTTAAGTAAGTAAAAGAAATGGGACATTTTTATATAAGGTGGTAATATGAGAATTTGCGAGTTATATTTGTCAATCACAGAACTTCAGGTAGCTGTTAAGACCCTTTTATTCATATTAAGTTTTCATAAGTTATTTTTTAGTTTGGTTGAATAAATGTCTTAGATTTTATACACGATGAATGTAAATACGCCACAAGTATTGGAAGTTCGACAACACCTTAACCAGTAACATCTTAATAATCAAACCATACCAACCTAGTCAAGTCAGAAGTCAGGAATGAAGAATTTGGAAAACATATTTGAAAGGAACGTTTGGTTCAATATATCTAATGGTTGAAAGGGATAAGTAGCACGGTGTATTCACTCGCGATCTGGCGTGAATGCTTGATGAGGTGCCTTCAGCTATGTGGGTCCAGCACCGAATGTCGAAGACTTAGAGAGCTATTTATCTGAAGGATTTATTTTCCACTACAAACGTAAGGCAGTATTTGAAATTTGAAGTTCAAGCAATAAATCACTGTTTTAAGTTTGAAGAGGACATGCTAGAACGTGTTTGATGGTCAAGAGACATGATTGTGAGAGGTCCCTTTTATATGCCTCATAAGGATAGAAGTAAACACCTCAAATGATTTCCGCCATCGATAAGAGTTGATTTCACAATAACTTGTCGCATACCGAAGATTTTGAGACCAAGTCTTCAGTTTTAAGTCTTCATAATAAGGATTGTATGTCATTGAAACTGTGTTAATCCCGACAGATTACCTTCCAGTGAAGGTAAAGTTTCTCCTTGAAAATATTCACTGTTTGGGCTGATACCACTTGTTCGGGTAAGGCGTTTCAGTCATTGACTACTCGATGAGAAAACGGGACCTCACTTTAAGTTTATTAGATCGCGGTTTGTGAACCTTCTTGCTATGACCTCAGGGATTGATAGTGCTGTAGGCAGCAACAGGATAAGACAAATTAACACCCAAATCATAATTAAAGATACAAAATGCCAGTATAAGGTCACCTCGCATCCTACGTCAAGACAAGGGGGAAAAGGTTTCGGCGTTTTAAACGCTCATCGTAGGGGAGTTTAGAAAGACCCTTCGCTACTTTTGTTCCCACACGTTGAACACACTCAAGTAAGATATGGGCTAGCTGCTTGGATACAGCACTATAAATGTGGTCCTACATAAGTGAGGTATAAAATTTGAAACATTTCCCCGTCAAAGCATTTGGATGCTCGGAGAAGCGGCCATAACGCACTAAAACCTTTGACAGCAGCTACGTTGCAACGCGTAGTTGTTTTCAAGTCATGACTTATTATTACTCCTAAGACTTTATGTCCTTTAACGCGTGGAAGAGATGTACCATCAATAGTATAGTGGTAATTATTACCGTGTCCGATATGCATGAGCACACTCTTCCTAACATTGACTTCAAAGCCCAACCTTGAGCCCATCTAACTAATTTATATAAGTTAGCTTGGAGATCAAAATGATCAGCCTCACTTCTTATTGTTCTCCAGATTTCTACACCATCCGGTAACAATAATGTCGACGACTTAAGCACCAGCGGTAATTCATTAACGTAGAGAAGGAAAAGTAGATGGTCTAAGATGGTGCATTGGGGTACACCACTTTTGTTCGGTTTCCATTTGTTCGTATTCCATTAACCCCACTCTGTGTTTGGGGTCACATAAAGAGTTTCCTACACATCCCTATACTGCGCCTATTATTCCGAAGCTCGTGAGCTTCTGCATAAGACCTAAGTGTGAAACCTTGTCAAACGCTTGGCTAAAATCTATAAATATTACATCAACAGACAGACCATTATCTAGGGCTGCTGCTCAACCCTCTTTCGCAATAAGTAAATTAGTCAAGCATGAATGCTTGTTACGAAACCCATATTGCACGGAAGTCAACAAACCGTGTAAATCTATGTGACTTAGTAACCTAACCCGTATTATCTTTTCAAGTAACTTAACGACTATGCTGGTTAGACTGATAGGCAGGTAGTTAGATACAATCTGTCTCTGACCATCCTTAAACATAGGACTGACTGTGGCGTCTTTCCAATCTCTAGGGAGTTGGGTGAGTGAAAGGGACATGTTGAACCGCGTATCCGGTGGTCTTGAAATAGTGTCCGAAAGAGATGACAACAGCCGTGGATTTAACCCGTCAGGGCCCGTTATCTTACAAGGTTTGAGGTTAGTTAGCAATGGAAGGACAGTTTCCTCAGCCACATGTACATATCCTATGGATAGTATCTCGGTGTGATTGTGAGAGGTATTTGTAACAATACATGTAGAGTAGACTTCACTAAAATCGTTTGAAAAGGTCTCAGCTTTTGCTCGATTTCATCCAGCCATTAAATCTGAATTTTCGTGTAACATTAACGGGGGAATACCATCACTAAGATTTTCGCCATTTAACATGCGAAAACAAACGTTTCGGACAAGTACGGCTATCATATGCTGACTGTCTTTTGCAAATAGTACGGTATTTAGCTAGAGTCTTTTTACATATATTCTGGATTCTTTGGTATTCCCGTCGGCAAGAATAGGGTTCAGAAGTATTTCCTACGCTTCAACAGTTTCCGGGTTTCCTTAACAATCCATGGAGGAAATTGTGATAGCTTACGTGTTGAACATGGGATAAACGGTGACTTTGCGGACTTGAATATAACCGTAAACCTATTCCATTTGTCTTCGATCGATCCATCCACGTCGACTGACCAGCCAGTTGAGATAGCACAGTCTCTGATTGCTGGAATATCAGCTCGTCAGATATCTTTTTCTATATCATACGAAAACTTGTACGGGGAAATGTTGCCAGAGTGTTTGAATATAAAGGGCAGATTATTTACTTTCTAAGTTCTGTACACCTTATTTAGTTGCAAGTTGCTACTACCCAAGCTCCCAACATTGGGGAAATGTTTGGGAAGCCGCCATAGTAAACTTTGGGGAAATGGCACCAAAACTCCGAAATTTCCCCAAAATTTTGGGAAGGATATTTCACTATGGGGATTTCCCAAAAATTTCACCAAAGTTGGGAGCTTGGGTACATGTAGTGTCAACACCTCTTGACAAACTGGAAGGAAGATTAAGCATTGTAAATAGTAATACAGATCGCCTGACATAAACATTCTCACATATGAGAACTGAGGTCTAATTGTACATTAAGAAATCGGACTGGGACTTGGTTTTGTCGTACCATTTAGTGTTAAGGCTGTATTCCCCGCGTATCTTGAATCTCGGTGATGGATGTTGCTCAAACTCAAGTGCGAACTATACGAGTGGTCGATGTAGTTGCAGATGAGTGTCAGAGGCTTTTCCACCATTTTTTGGAAACGTAACTGTAATTCACACTTGACTTTTCTGTTAAGATTTAAGGAAAACGATGTTCTGAAATATGTGGAAGCTGCTAACGGGCTCAAACAACTTGAGAAAAATACACTGTCAGTGACCTTTACAGACATAATAGTATCTGATACAAGGTTATCTGGACTTATTCAGGACGAGTTCTATAGGTGAGTTTTATCGTAGCCTTATTTCAAAAGGCTGTATCCTGCGCTTTGCTCGGCCACAAAAAATTTCGTGAATGATCACGTACCAGATACGCAGAATTCAGGAAGGGACTTCTACGTCAGTTTTACAGACGTCCCTAGCTTACACAGGTATTGATGATTCCAAAATATTTTTTTCTCAGGATGCGAGACCTCACAGCAAGTCAGTTAGGAAGGTTGATCAAAGTACGTGCTCAGGTCGTACGAGCACACCCTATTCACCCCGAACTTTTAATGGGTACTTTTCGATGTTCCGAATGTAAGATAGTGATAAGAAATGTGGAGCAGCCCTTCAAATATACCCAGGTACCACCACGTCTTACTAACCTCGTTAGCCAACTGTATGTTTTAATCCTCAATGCGGGAACCGACTTAAGTTTGAGTTGCTTACGAATGAGTCGAAGTTCGTCGATTTCCAGAAAGTTCGAGTTCAAGAAACTCAGTCTGAATTACCTCGAGGGAGCATCCCACGCAAGTAAGCTCATCCTACTAACTTTTGTCTTTTTTGTCTGCTTATTCACAAGTCCTAAGAAGTACAAACATTGTGGGTAACAAGAAATATGAATCGATCTGTTTATTCAGGTAGTAAAGTCACAGTAAATAGGTGGTAGATGCTCTAAATCAAGCACAGTAATTTTCGACAACAAAGACTGCAAATGAGTTGATGTTTTGTTGGTCTGGAACGTCACGTAAATAAATAGTTGGTGTCAATTAGCAGACACTATCATGGGAGTCCGTTTCTTTTATCTAAAGCAAGTAGTTTGGAGAGAGATGCTGTAAAATAATCCTGCGGATCAACAACAGGAGCCGTATGGATTGATCGCTACTAAACATTGATTGAGAAGTGGCTATTTGGTCTCTTAGATAACTAAAAGTTTTTGGTATGCCAGGATTGCGTATAAAAGTCATGGATGCGAACTTCACTATATTTCTGTATATCTTTGAGCAGTGAAGTCAGTTTTTTCCTCATTTACGCAACCCTAGGTTAAGTAGTGTAGTTCGACTCCTGATACGTCACCATTTGATTTGCCTTGGCTGCCAGTACATTTTACATGTTTTGTTAAACCTTTCAGCCTTGAAGTCATACTACGTGCAGATACAGTAGACCTTGCGCAACCTGGTGATCGGTGTGAATTTATTGGGACTCTTATCGTTATCCCTGATGTTGGACAACTAGCGACACCCGGTAAATCAAACATTTTAAGTTGTAATATTTATTTTACTCACTAAATGTTGGTGGCCATCTTAAATTCATCTGTATCACTTGTCGCAACTGTTCCGTTTTGTTTGCGCTGATTGGTTGGGTGTTGTATGAGTATTGATAGTTAAAAAATTGAACAGTTTTGTTACCTAGGAAAGAAATCCTCTATTTTGGTTCTATTTAGGTGACAGGTCGTTAGAGGGTAAGCCGTTACGAGGGCGAGACAATCAAGAAATCGCGGTGTGACTGGTCTAAAGGCTTTAGGAGTGCGTGAGCTTTCTTATCGAACAGCGTTTTTGGCTTGTACTGTCATACCTTCAAATGGAAGAGTAAGTCTAATTTATAACTTTGGGTTGATGGCATGAACTTCATAACAGGTTTCAATAATTTTGCCATGGTACGTTCCAATATAAAGTTCTTGGTTACGGTAAACGTACAATAATGTCTCAGTAACTTATGCACTCGGTTAACTACAGTAAGGTACTCGGTTCAAATTTCACGTTCGATAACAGTATTTTTTCCACCAATTTCATGATTGGTAATTCTTTAGCCATAGCTTCAGATGTCGGCTAGTGTTGTAGTTATCGGCAGCAGTTTCCCAGATTTTAATCGAAGTGGTGGCTTAGTGGGTGAGTCATTCGGCTTTCAGTCAATATTTCGCAGATCCGGATCACACTTTGCGTGTTTCGCTTTAGGAAACCGGGTAATATTACTAGTCTCCGCTCAAATGTGGCTTAAGTGAGAGTACTTAGGCCTATACTTGGCAAATAATAATAACTTTAACCGAAATAAATAGTCCAGCGGGGAAATTTACTAGGCCTTAGTACCTTTTATTAGTTTATTCCATAATGCGAAATCGTCATTTAAATTTGATGGTACGTTTTCACACATTGAGTTCTGAAGCCGTACGATATTGTATTACTTAGGATCACTAACACACAATATTCGTGCTTGTTTTAATGGACATATGATTCGGAGTCTGAAATTTTTAGTTGCCAACTAGATTTCTACAGTAGACCTAATGTCACTGAATCATTTCCACTTAAAACTAAATCTTCTAAAAGGTTGTTTTATTTTAATCAGAACTTCAGGAAGTTGACCGAAATTCGATCTTTACAAAGATGAAATGGATTATTTATGTACTTATAGACACGTATTTATTCACTTCCATTCGTTCCACTGTTTGCATTTTCTATTATTGTTTTGTAATCCCCTGAGTGTTATACATTCTATTACTGTTCTCCACAACTTACAAGCAACTTATTTTTTTCTGATTTTAACTTTGCCTCACTTCAAATGGTTTTAAATCATCCTGTTTTTTTTACGTACTGTGTATAAATATTGGAATTTTGATCTTAGTACTTGCCATCAGATGAATTAGAAGAGTCAGATGCGATCTCTTACGAAGCATTGTCAAAAAGACTGACGCCATCTGAGCTCGATACAATTTGTCAAATGAGTCAGGATCGAAAACTTCTTACAAACATGTGCAGATCTCTTTTCCCGACTATTCACGGTGCTGATGAAGTTAAGAAAGGTATCCTGTTGATGCTTTGTGGTGGTGTACCCAAGGTTAGTACAATCAGTAGTTTTATACATCGTGAACTTAATTTGTGTTATTTTATTGACTCCTGGCTATTTATTTTCATGTTGATATGCACGACTGAAGATATGTTGCATAGAATCTCAATTTGTCTTTCTTGCTAATATATTTAATGTTGAAAAACATAGTCGGTATCTTATTGTGAAGATTTGTGCTAGCTTTTATTTTATTTTAGTGCAACTTTGTCTCCTAATTTCAGCCAAGTGTACTGTCTAATTCTTTTTATAGATTACTGAAGAGAAAACTCATCTCCGTGGAGATCTAAACGTATGTCTAGTTGGCGATCCAAGTACAGCGAAATCTCAGTTCTTAAAACATGTTGAGAAGTTTTCTCCACGTGCCGTTTATACTAGTGGTAAAGCCAGCTCAGCAGCTGGTTTGACAGCTGCAGTAGTGAGGGATGAAGAGTCCTTCGAATTTGTCATTGAAGCTGGAGCACTAATGCTTGCAGACAATGTAAGTCACTGACTTTAAACATTTTATTTGAAGTAGTCATTTTCACAACTGTTTTTCAATGATTTTTGTTTTGTTAAACGTGTTCATAGTACATAGAAAACATATTGGTAATAAAAACATCTCGCCTTTCTAAAATAAATTTATTATGCAGTTGGAATCTTTAAGCAATCTTATTAATCATTGTCAAAAATCCAAACTCATTCTTAAACAATAAGAGCTCACGGCTAGCAATTCGCCCTCTCGGATTGTTTCTTTAGAAACCAATTTCTATTTTCTAAATTACAGTAAACGTCCCGGTGAAAAGCTCTCAATGGATTTCCTTGATATTTTTCTACTATTCTCTTTATAATTTATTACCAACTGCAACTAGAAAACAACTTTTTCCCAAATATTATATGTATTGTAATCTCAGCACTGAGTCTTTTACACACAAATATGAGTCATTACCAAAGATTGATTACCGAAAACTACCATTATTACCAAAGGAATTACTCCGATTCTAACCATAATTTCATTCATGATCACATATTCTAATGAATATTTTAGTGATATCGCAGAACCTTTATTATGAGTTCACTAGACCACTACACTAAGTGAATCCAAACATGAATTTCTTTTTTGGTATTGTTATCTAAATATATTTAGTTTTTGTATACGATTTTTTCACTAGTTTTAAATTTATTGCTTAAAGGGAGTTTGCTGCATAGATGAATTCGATAAGATGGATCTTAAAGACCAAGTCGCAATTCACGAAGCGATGGAACAACAAACAATTAGCATAACGAAGGCTGGTGTGAAAGCTACACTGAATGCTCGCACTTCTATTCTTGCAGCAGCTAACCCCATTGGTGGTCGCTATGACAGATCAAAATCTCTACGACATAATATTGGCTTGTCTGCTCCCATTATATCACGTTTTGACCTGTTTTTTGTGCTGATTGATGAATGCAACGACGTAAGTTCCTTAGTTTTTGTTCTACGTACCCGATTCACCTATAGGAGGCAAAGTAATCGCAATTAATAGTTGCTTCTAAACCTAGAAATTCTTTTACGGATAAAATCACACGTTAGATTATCTTGAGACCACGTATTTGTCAGATGCTTTAGGATCTTGGATGAGTTCTGTTTTGTTTTTTTGTTTATCGAAGTGATCTCACCCACAAGTTAACAATTCACAACATGACCTAAGAAGAACGATTGTGTTTCCGTCTGCCTACTAATTTTCTTACGTTCTCGTGATTGACGTAAAGGAAGTGGTATCGCGTCACATTTTGTAAATGGTAATGACCTATTTAACAGCGACTTATTTACGAAAACCTGCTTCAGTAGTTCTCATAGTAATTTTGAACGACATTTCGGAGGAAATTCTAAGGACTTTAACTAATATAATACCGATCTCCTCATGCACTAATCTATTCAATACCCTAACTTCTCACAGGATACACTGAGATATATCTGACAAATTACCAAATGAACTATGCTAATTTTGTGCAATGTATTTGTTTGACTGTTACGTTTCTGCTCATTACTTTTTTTCAGATCGTGGATTATGCTATCGCTCGTTCAATTGTAGATTTGCATATGGGGAGACATGGTGCAGAAGATACTCACACCATCTATTCAGTTGATAACATTCGTCGCTACATCGCTTTTGCTCGTTGTTTTAAACCAAAAGTATGGAATAATTTTTTCACACTACTTCAGTATTTACTAAACTTTGCCATCAAGATAATTATTTCAATGGTGTTTATAGTTTGTTCCCTAGCTTTCTTCGAAGACCGACAGAAAGATCATAGGGATCTAATCATAATATCCAGTATTACCGAGTATAAAGCTTGCCACAAATACACATCCTAAGTGTTTATATGTAGACAAGTTGTTATTCGATATCAGCATCTCGAAATGAAAGTAACAAAAATACCAAAAGATTCGAAATAGTAGCGGTGTAGATGATAGTAAGGAATATTAAACAGTAAGAACGCCTACTGGGCGCTTGAACATCCTAATAGTACTTTTAACCTTTACAGAGTAAGTGTACATCACGGATGGACAGATACTTGATTACTGAGTTGCGTTCATTTCCTGGTCAAATATTTATGTTTTTATCATGGCCAGCTTCATGTAGTATCAGTGTGTTCTGTGCTGTTTTACAGAAGAATTATTATGGTATAAATATTAAACTATTTACCGGTCAATTTACCATATGCCGTAGGAAATAGAGTTGTCTTGTTATTCATTTGAGATTACCTAGTGGTGTGGAATCATATTTTTCTAACTGCATTTTATACCACCAGATAAGCGTGGAAGCTATGGAATGCATGGTTGAAGAGTACAAAAAAATGCGTCAGCGAGATGCTTCCAGTGGGACAAAGTCTGCATGGCGCATCACTGTTAGACAGCTGGAAAGTCTTGTTCGTCTTTCAGAAGCAACAGCACGACTACACTGTGCAGATACCGTAAGATTTTTATTCCCTAGATTTTATGTATTCAACAATTTCCGTGACGATTCCACTTAAAATGACTTATCCATTTCTTTATTGTTCGAGTTGTAGTGTATTAACGTAATGTCAATTTTAAATTTCGTTTCATGTGCACGCTCGTTTATGTAAACCCTTGATTCGAAATTTTTAATCTTACCTTTAAAGGAGTAAATCAACCGATATCGCCAAATGACTGATTTTTATTGTATCGAACCTTACAGTATATTTTATTTTATTTATTTGAACACATGAATATTGGAACAAGAGAGCGCCAATATATATGCGCCACACAAAACAATGAGAATTCGAAGAGAAGAAAAAAAGGTAAGGAGCGCAAGAAAAAAAGAGAACAATAACGAAGAGATTAGTGTAAGGTAGTGTGGTAGTAATGAAGGAACGGAAAGGTACAATCAGAATGAATCTTCCAGTTAAGGGAGAAGCAACCACTTTTTATGAAGAAAGTAAAAAAAAAGGTTACAGCAGGATCGCCACTGGCTTCTATTCTGAGCCATATCTGATAACGTCTCTAGCCACTGTGTTGCACCATCTCTCGGACCCCAACCAGGGAGCCGTGAAGGACCGACAAAAGCCAGTCCTTTGCAGCTTTCTTTCATACCACGACACCATGTCATGCACTGACCACCTCTCCGCTTTTTCCAACCAGTCCCAGAGTCAGCAAATAATGCACGGCGTGGAATTCTCTGGGACGACATTCGTAGAACATGTCCAAGCCACCGAAGTCGGTGTTTCAAGATGGTGACACCAATTGCATTATCGTCTCTGAAACCAAACACACGATGCCGAACCTCTGCATTACTGACATGGTGTTGCCACTGATGTCAGCAATCCTTCGGAGACAGCGATGATCGAACACAGAGAGTCGTCTGACGTCCTCAACTCGGAGAGGCCAGGTTTCACAAGCGTAGAGCAAAACTGCTCTCACCGATGTGTTGCAGATCCGACCTTTTACAGCCAGACTAACATCACGAAGGCGCCAAAGGTGGCCCAGATTGGCATAAGCCGCTCTGGCTTTCACTAATCGTGCATTGATCTCGTCACTCACACCCCCACCAGCACTTATGCAGCTACCCAGATACACGAACTTCTCGACTACTTCTATCTGCTCACCATCCAGGGTGAGTACAGGATTAGAATCCTGCCAGTCCCCGATCGAAGCTGCTACCTTGACGCGGTGGTCGGGCTTGCCTATCGTGATGACCCAACCGAGCTATATTGGCTGGAACATATGTTCCTGTAGGTTCTACCATGCCAGGCAGGTCGATTGGTGAACGGTAAGACTAAAAGCAGCAACTCAAGGTCTGAGGGCGAAGTCGTACTGCTGACTGTAGAGGGGTGTGACAGCAGTAAGGTGTTTCCTTCGGACAACCAGCATGACAGCGATGCTGCCTTCCCACAAGGAGGGGTGGGGTTAGAAAAGGTCGACCCTAAAAATGTCACACCTCACCTTACCTCACGGATTTCCGTCTCCGGCGGTAAGGCCCTTTGAAGAACGGAGCTAACACGTCAAAAACCTTCCACAAAAAGGCCGTGCGCGACCGGCCTCAAGCAGTTGTCCCTTGGGCTCTGCGGTCACGCTCCCAGGTCGTCAAGACCAACACTAATCCAATTTCCTTTTCAGGTTCCTCAAGAAATACCCTTCCACGGTGTGGGCAGCCGGGAAGTGACATCAGCCCTCATACCCGTAACAGCACAAGAGACCAAGGTGGTCACATTCAAATCCTTCCTACACCTCCTAATACCTCTCTTATCTCCATGACTAACCCTCCTCACGTCTCTTTATCACCTCGCACCGCTAGGGCAAACGATTCGAGTACGTGGAACGCCATTCCTGGTCTCCTGAAACCACGCTCTAAACTACACGTAGGAGCTTTTAACGTACGAACACTTTGCCAAATAGGACAGCAGGCTTCCTTAGCTAAAACTTTAGAATCTCGCGCCATCGATGTGTGCTGCGTCTCCGAAACGCGCATACAGGATCCAAGTAGCGTCATTCATTTGACCTCACCATGCCAAAATAAAGAACCGACTCGATTTACGCTTCGTGTATCTGGAAGCCCTGATTCTGCTTCCCGTGGCCTCGCCGGCGTAGGTATAGCATTGAGTCCTAGGGCAGAACTAGCTCTCTTAGAGTGGATCCCAGTAGACAGTCGTTTGTGCGCTGTCCGACTGAACGGAACAGTAAGAATCCGGAAAGATAGGGACACTCGTCGTTGCCTCTTCGTCGTCTCTGCCTATTCTCCCACTGACTGCAGCTCAGATGATGTAAAAGATGAGTTTTACAGAAAGCTTTCGGACCTTCTCCGAAAAGCTAGGCGCTCGGATGTAGTAATAGTGGCCGGTGACTTTAATGCTCAAGTAGGTAAACTAAGCGATAGGGAAAGACACCTAGGTGGATCTTATGGTGTCGTGGCTCAAAGAACAGATAATGGCGACCGTCTGTTGCAGCTATGCTCAGATAACCGCCTGTTCCTTGCAAATACTAACTTTAAGCATAAGGAAAAACATCTTTTAACATGGCGACCCCCTAATTCGTCCCAACGTTGGACCCAAATAGATCACATCGCTATCAGCCACCGATGGAGGGGCTCGATAGAAGACTGTCGCTCATTCTGGAGCACATGCCTAGATTCAGATCATGCTCTAGTGCGAGCGCGTATTTGCTTGCGTCTTACTGGACGTAGGAAAGACGCTGCAAGGAAACCTCTTAGGGCCTACTTAATGATAGTCAAGCTAAGAGTATATTTCAGGAACAACTAGGAAAACAGTTAGGCAGCCATGTATGTGATGCCCACCCCGATGCAGCATGGAATGATATCCGAAAAGCTGTGGAAACAGCAGTGATATCTGCTAGTAAGGTAAACCAGAAGGTTAGGGAGCAACACTGGATCTCAGCAGCATCTATCGCACTGATAGATGCTCGGAAACTCATTCCACCTGGCTCTGAACATAATGAAGAGCGGAGTCAGCTTAAGCGCAAGCTGACAAGAAGTCTACGCAATGATCGCGAACAGTGGTGGGTAGCGAAAGCAAGAGAGATGGAAAAGGCAGCGGCAATAGGTAATAGCAGACAATTGTTCAGACTCGTTAAGGAAACCGGAATTAGGAACCCGACCGTTAGCGAAACAATCTCAGAGAAAGATGGACATATTATTCATTCTCAATCCAGGAGATTGGATCGATGGGCAGAACACTTTAGGGATCAGTTCAACTGGCCTTCAGCCACACTTCGGTTTCCCACGATCTCTAGTCAACCTGAATGGCAAGTTAATGTAGGTCCTCCGTCCCTTTACGAAGTTGAAAAAGCCATAGGAAATCTGAAACGAGGGAGAGCAGCAGGCCCTGACAGGTTTACTCCTGAGATTTTTAAGGATGGTGGTCCAGTATTAGCAATGAGATTAACCGAGGTCTTAGGTAGAATTTGGGAACTGGACGTAATCCCATCTGACTGGTCTCAATCACTGATTGTGCCAGTCTATAAGAAAGGACAAAAGTCCTCTTGTGACAATCACAGAGGAATCAGTTTGACTAATATAGTGTCTAAAATATTAGCTTCAATAATACTTCGACGCCTAATCAAAGCTCGTGAAGAGCAGACTAGAGAAAACCAGGCCGGTTTTCGACCTGGACGTGGTTGTATAGATCAGATATTCACACTACGTCAGGTTCTAGAACACAGACACACATTCAGACGCCCCACAATGGTAGTATTTCTCGACCTTAAGGCGGCATTCGACTCTGTTGATCGTGAGGTTCTATGGCAGTGTTTGTCACTGAAAGGAGTACCAAAGAAGTACATTAACCTTATAAAGGCTCTCTACTCGAACACAACTGGTAGAGTGAGAGCTTATGGCGAACTGTCATCAGAATTGATTACCTCAAGTGGTGTTCGTCAGGGCTGTCCACTCTCCCCATTCTTGTTCAACTTTGTGGTCGACGTACTTTTAGAGATAACACTCTCCTCATCTAAATTTCCAGGGGTTGAACTTCTACCAGGAGGTTCACTTGTTGACTTAGAATATGCTGATGACATAGTTTTATTTGGTGAAGACGCTGACAAAATGCAGAGTCTTCTGACCACTCTAAGCAACAATGCAAGCATGTTCGGGATGCGATTCTCTCCCTCGAAATGCAAAATGTTGCTTCAGGATTGGGTTACATCGACACCCGAACTAGTGATAGGGAGTGAAGTAGTTGAGTGTGTCGACCGCTTCACTTATCTTGGAAGTCTCATCAGCCCTTGTGGTTTAGTGTGTGACGAAATCTCAGCACGGATACAGAAGGCTCGACTAGCTTTTGCCAACTTGCGTCATTTATGGCGTAGGCGAGATATCCGTCTATCAACCAAAGGACGTGTTTACTGCGCAGCAGTTCGTTCCGTCCTACTTTATGGCAGTGAAACATGGCCGGTAAGAGTAGAGGATATTCGTAGGTTACTAGTATTTGATCATAGGTGTCTTCGAAATATTGCTCGTATATCATGGGACCATCGAGTAAGTAACACAGTTGTTAGGAAACGGGTACTAGGTAAGGATGGCAAATCAATTGATGAAGTAGTGAAACTTCATCAGTTGAGATGGCTGGGACACGTGTTACGTATGCCCAACGACCGACTGCCTCGACGTGCTATGTTCAGTGGTATAGGAGTAGGTTGGAAGAAAGCTAGGGGCGGCCAAACCAAAACATGGCACAAGTCCATGAAGTCACTGACAAGTGAACTGAGTCATGTTGGTAGGTGTAGACTACCTGGTTGGGGACCGCGAGATGATAGCAACCGATGGTTAGAGACCCTGAATGACATGGCTCAAAATCGTTTGCAATGGCGCAGGTGCATCCACTCTCTGTGTTCTCCCAAATTCTAATCTTCTGAATCCTTCATGTCCCTTTTTTCCTCTTTCCAAATTTATTTCACTGGATTATACTCTTTAAATAACATCTCCAAACCCTAATCTTCCCGATTACTGCTTATACTCTTGCTACCTCTACCACTACGGGATTTGAATCGACAACTGCATCTCTGTGCTAATGTGGTGTGGCAACTCGAACTGATGTACATACGTACGAAGTTCTACGTTGTTACTGACTGACTGATCCTGCCAGTCTTGTAGAAGTACTTTGCACTTCGAAGGTGCAAAGCACATACCATACCTACGGACACTGATTGCCAACTGATTAAGTGCGGATTGCATGCCTTGGGCATTATCGCACAGTAAGACAATATCGTCCGCATACTCAAGGTCGAGAAGTCTTTCTCCAGGCAACAGATCCACACCACCATTACTTACATTCATCAGAGCTGTTTCCAGAATGTCATCGATGGCAAAGTTGAAGAGGAATGGTGAGATTGGGCAACCCTGTCTAACCCCACTGCTCGAATGGAACAATGGAGAGAGGTGGTTGTATGCCCTCACTCTGCCTGAGGTGTTTTTATATAGGGTTTTTAGGATGTTAATAAACTTCTCAGGCACACCCTTCTTCAATAGACAATCCCAGAGAACAGTCCTGTCCAACGAATCGAAGGCAGCCCTGATGTCAAGATACACTACGATTGTTAACCTTTGATAAGTATGACGGTGTTCTAACATTTGGCGAAGGGTGAAGATATGATCAATACATCCTCGACCAGAACGAAACCCAGCCTGCTCCTCGCGAGTCAATCTTTCTCGGGTTTTGAACAACCTACGAAGTATGACGGAAGCCAATAGCTTGGACGCAATCGGAAGTAGACTTATCCCCCGATAGTTGTTGCAGGAACGACGTGAACCCTTTTAAGAGATAGAGACAACTATCAAATCATTCCATGACGTTGGTACACTCTCTAGTTCCCAAACCTTTGTAAACAACGTCGTCAATTCCTTAGTCAGAAAGTCACCACAATCTTTAAAAAGAGCCGGAGGTAAGTCATCTGGGCCAGGTGATTTGTAACGCTTCAAGAGTTGGAGTTCCTTGCGGACTTCCGCCTCATTTGGTGGATCAGTCGTCACCGGCCATGGAGGGCAGGACAGTCTGACCGATGTTGCCGGGGCAGCAGGCCAGTTGAACTGCCCTTCGAAAAATTCTGCCCATCGTCCAGGGCGTCGATGGATGTTAGTGATTGGCATCCCATCATCCTCGCAGATTGTTTCACTCACACCAGACTTCTTGCTGCCAGTGGCTCGGATGAGCTGGAAGAGCTTCCGGTAGTTACCAGATGCAGCTGCTGCTTCCAGCTCGTTAGCACGCTCCGACCACCAGGTTTCTCGGTCCTTACGCAAGCTTTGCCCAATTTCCTTACGTAACATCCTTCGTTTATGGTCAAACTCACGGTCACCGGGAGTAGACCGACGGGCTTCAATGAGTTGTAAGGAACCTGCAGAAACCCAGTGCTTATAAGCGGGACGTTTCGCGAACCCACAACTGACTGTACCCGCCATTTTCATGGCGTCATGCAATTGCAACCAATGCTCATCTATACTTTTCGGTGGAGTGGTAGCTAGCCTAGAGGCTAGCTCGGTTCGATACTTACTAGCAACAGAAGTTGCAACCAGCTTGCTAACATCAATCCGTTGGTGGAGGTCACTTCGTTGTCCACTGAAAAGTAAGGTAAGATTGGCGCAGACCAAGGCATGGTCAGAGTCCAGATAGGTACTCCAAAAGGAGAGGCAGTCTTGTGCACAACCACGCCAGCGGTAGCTGATCGCGATGTGATCAATCTGAGTCCAGGCTTGAGATACAGAAGGAGGGCGTCAGGTGGCACATCGGCGATGACTGTGCCGAAAGTTAGTGCTAGCCAAAAGCAGGTTATGGTCTGTGCAGAGTTGCAGTAGACGGTCCTCGTTATCTGTCCTGTGACCAACGAGTCCCCATCGGCCACCTAAACGACTCTCTTCTGTGCCTAGACACCCGACCTGAGCATCCAAGTCTCCGGCTAGTACTACAATATCTGTCGAACGCACTTTCTGGAGAAGAACAGACAACTGGTGGTAAAACTCATCCTTGATTGCATCCGGGCTGCAATCTGTCGGGGCATAGGCGGAGATGACGAAAAGACATCGTTTCTCACGCCGATTTCTTCTCATTTGATGAACTTTCTAATCTAACAGCACATAACCGACTGTTAATGGGGATCCAATCGATTAGTGCTGCCTCAGCTCTAGCGCTTAGTGCGACACCAGCACCAGCGAGACCAGACGAAGATGCCACAGGGTCCCCGGATAAGCGCACGTAAAACAAGCTTTTTGAAGTGACAGATGGAGATCGAATTTGTAGTACTTCGCCAGAGTCTTGAATACGGGTCTCGGATAGACAGCAGACATTGATATTAAGACTTTCCAAAGACATAGCCAGCCCTATCTGTTGTCCGACCTGCATAAATGTGCGAACGTTGAAGGCAGCCAGTTTGAATGGTGCACGTGGTTTCAGAAAAACTGCTTCAGTCCTCGTATTCGGTGGTAACATACAATTTTCAACCGGACAGTGACTCGAGAACGTTTAGATACAGTCGAATTTCCACCAACGACGAGCCGCTGTATAAGTACAAAAGAGGGTGAATAATGTGGTAAATAATAATTTGATTGTTAGTTGAAGCAAGTAAAGTAGTTTCCATAATTATAGGCAGTTCATCATATTTGTGTGTGGGCTGTGATACTGCCCGGGTGCCCAGACCGAAGCAGACAGTATATTTCAGGTCACTCTTTCCGATTTACAACTAGTGACGTTACTTATGTTCCGAGTTCATCACTCCTATCAGACATTACTTGTTTAGGGCACACAATTGTGTACGGTCCTCACATTCATGCTACATTTTAGCGCGTTCAACTGAATGTTTATACCAATGTAATCGTCATTGTGTTGTCTTAAGGGACTAGAAATTGTATAAGTTATGAGAAATCTGATATGTAAATATTCAATAGTCATCATTGTCATACAAAATACTACTTGTAGTCCATAATATATGGAAAGTTCTGATTGATAAGAGATTTTATTCAAAGCATCTAGTTCGGTTTACTTTCTTTTCGTGACTACTTGTGTCAATAACAATTATTTCATCGATATAGTAGCTATATTTGAAACAGTAGACAATCTTAAGCCGGAACTAATTTTTCAACCCGCAAATCGGAACACTGGAGGAATGGTTTTAAGTACGTTGTATTTTCTTGAATTATGCCATGTGATCGTATATTTAAAATAACAGGTCTTAACTAACAATATGTACATTACTAGGCGTTTTGGCGCAAAGCTAAACAAGGCAATTATAGTTAACTGATTTATTCACAGTAGGTTAGGGAAACTGTTATTAGATCAAGCAATAGCGCAAAATCAAGTCTATAAGAAAACATCCCAAACAGATCGTTTAATAACTCCGGGTTTCATAATCTTTCCTCGCGTCTTCCTAACGCCAATGTATTAGTTGTCGCTACTAACATTTTTCTTTTATACAAGTAAACCGTACTCTATTAAGAGTCTTTTGTTCTTCGTAACAGGTAACACAAGCTCATGTACGGGAAGCTTTCGCTCTCTTAAACAAATCCATAATACGAGTTGAACAGCCTGATATAAATCTAGAAGAGGAAGACCAACATCAACTGACAGATGCTTCGGAAACACCAGTTATTGATCAGGTATGTATTTTTGAAAAAAAAATTGTGTTCTTCAAATCTTATCGAATTTCTCACTTATTTTTCCACTTTTTAATTGTTTTAACTAGCCAACTACCGAGACAAATACAACCGCTGGACATTTACGAGTAACATATGATGAGTATAGACGGATTGCTAGTCTCTTAATTTTGAGGGCCGAAACTGGTGTGAGACCTTAGCAACAGATAGTGAGTCTGATCAAACTCCTGGTGCTCCCAAAAGGAGTGAACTAGTCAACTGGTATCTAGAAGAAGTTGTTGATGAATTTGAAACCGAAGCGCAGTTAGCGGAAGTCAAGCTTCTTGTCGAACGCATAATCGATCGCCTAATAAAAAAGGTAAGCTTATCAACATATCACTTTTCGTTACATTTGGCATTTGTTTACTTTTCGAGTTCTAGATTGGAAGTATTCATGGTGGTTCTTTTGAAACGAACTATGTAGGCCATTGAGAGCTACAAAGATAAAGATTTTCAGAATCTTAGGCTTCATTATTTAAAATTTCGTAACTAATTATCTCATTCCCATGATACTAACACATCCAAGCCATATAATACAAATGCACTGTTCTAGGTAGTCGCTTTTATTTTACTTGGTATTTCAGCGCTTTCGTAGTACCAGTACTTTAGAATAGAGTTGGTGAGTCCCAGTCTCCCACAATTGATGTCGCTAATTTCACCGTTTATTTGATATGGTAATGTGCAACATTAATCAACGATTATTTGCTGAAGTAATGAATCAGTTACCGCGATGGGTAGTTAAGTGTATCAGGAATCCTACAACACATAGCGAAAGTAAAAGAATATTAAAAATACAAAAACACATATTCGTTATCATATTGGAAGCTCCTTTTGAGTTTATGGATTAAGAGAATGGTAAGCAGAACATTTATAGATGGTTTTGGAATCCTTGCTTATCTTACCGATTTCGAGTACAAACAGGTTTGTTTTATTATCTGTACCGAAAGTAAAATGAATAGGAGACCTACATACTATCTATGTGAAACTGCAAAAACAACTTACAGCTCAAAATATAGAATTTCGAAAGTTACTTTTTCTAAAACACTCAACAAGTGATATGTCACGACTGTGTCTGACTTCTAAGAACCCTGATGAAACCAAGCACGTTGGATGAAGAGGAATAAGTCTTATTGGTTTAAGTCAAATCATTTCTGTCCTACTTTCATAGATTCGACCAGATATTGGCTTCATCAAATCCTTGCTACTTACAAAACACACAAACTATTCGAACTGTAACATGTAATGTTTAGTAGCTGTGAGACGTGAAGCACGCATCAAAATGTCTTTTTACTTATGAATAAGAAATTATGTAGCCTAGTCATGTAACATTCACTTCTGCATTTCGCCCATAGCTCGACTATGAAATAAGACTGAAACATTCGCTCCAATATACGTTATTGACCAAGGCAACTACAGTATTCGTTTTGTAGTAAGTTTTGGTTGACATGGAACAAAAACAATGCAGAGCGTTAAATATTCCCTGCATTCCATAGATTTGGGGTTTTATGATAGTAATAACGGTCGGTTAATTACAATTAAAAGGTGTTATATACTCACCAGAACACATGTGCTCTTCTGGTCACGTCTCTTCATGTAAGCAATGGGATTACGGAACTTAAGCGGTAGTGGCTAACGTACCGTGTTATTAGTTAACTATACAATAATTTGTGCTGTTTGTATGTAGTTATGGATGTGGTTAAAACAGTCTTATGTAAGGATATGCAATATTGGTTAATCCCACCAATGTTTTAGTGAGTTATGAGGGATTAGATTCATTAGCAAGTGTCTTTAACAATGAATCAACTGGCTTTATGCATACATTTAGTGTTAATGAAACAATGGAAACTTCCCTATTTCTTACAGGATAATATTCTCATAACTATTGGTGGTACAGGACTGGATGCATCTGCTGATACCGCTGATCCTTACATTGTCGTGCATCCTAATTACGTGGAGTAATTAAAACTTTTTTCAGAAAGATGTATTTATAATCAAGATGTGCTTTTTATGTAGTAAAATTTTTATTAATTATTATCTTTCCGTTGTCTAAGTCTTGTGAATGGTAGTATGGTTTCAGGAAACGTAAATATACAAAAGTAAGCACATTTATTTGCGAATTCAGCACGCGATTTGTTCGTATAAAAAAGGCCTGTACAAATTGTATCCATCACCAACGCTTTTGTGTGCTAATATAAAAAACTGCAACGGCTTAGAAATGCTGATGTGACTTACCGTTGTTTCCTCGGATGAACGTATCACCGTATTTGTTTTTCAACTGACCATCAACGTATTCTTCGGTCTGTTCCAAAACCACATTCATATAACCGTCTAGAGAAATTAGAACACCTGCAAACTATTTAGGCTGCATGGATATAAAATTACCTCTGTAATCAGCACCTGAGTTAAGCTTAACTACCACTGGTCTCCCGACTATGAGTTTCAAGAAGTCTCTTGGTGTCTGTTTATGTGCCATCCCTTCGTTTGTCTAGAAAAGAACCCATCGTTAGTGATCTAAATCTGACAGATTAATATATATAACCAGTGTTTAAACCCCTGATGAGACTGTCCAGGTTGTACACTTGTTCTGTCAATGTGGGTATTAAATTTTCAACCAGTCTGGGACAAGTTGGATATTGATCTCTCATCAAACTTACTATTATATGTAATGGATTATTTAGTTTTTTCTATTCTTTGCTAGTTTCTAAATCAGAGTGAATCTGATTTCCAATGGCAAATATTTCCATACTAACGTTTAGTTAGGTGCTGAAACAGCTAGTTTTGCTAATTTCTTTCACAATCTTATCGTTGGAGTTTGGTTGTAGCGCTTTTTGATGAAATACTATCGCTTAAAACTTGTGATCAAGTCATGAAATAGTGTGCACAGTATAAATAAACAAAAATAAGAGGACAACAAACAGACTTCCTAACTAGTGACCCAGGAATGAGATACAAGTTAGTGTTCGGCTTCAGGCTATACTGCTCTAGTCGGATTACGTATAATGGTGTTTGGATCCTCTAACTTGTGGCTCGAAGTCAACCGCTTTTGATAACTAAACCACTACTTTGGAAAAGAAATGGGAAGTGGCATATTCAGCCACTTGAGATTTCTGTCAATCATGACTTTCATGGTTACACTGTATAAACGCTTCCGGAAGAGATAGTTGCGTACACGTGGATTTAAACTAAATTGGATCTAAATTAAATCAAATAACACGAGTTTGAAATTCGGGACTCAGCAGACGTGCATAGATCTCTAAACTAGACTGAGCTACAACTGTTGCATGAAATGAATAATGACACTTCATGAACAGGTAAACTTCGGTAGCGGGTGGTGGTTTACTGGTGGGTTGGTGTTTGTACGCTAAACCACTACTCCTGCGTACTTAAATGTCACTTTTTATCAAATGCCTGTCAATTTGAAATGGCCGATGAAACAACTAGCCGTATGGAAGTTTTGGGCAGTTACGTAGCAGTCCCACATTCAATCACTATAATCTGGTTGCAAGGTCTTCTTATTTAGGAAAGCTATAATGAACTTACAGATTTTGAAGACATGACCTGGGGATGAGGATGTAATTTCTACGTGCATCATAGTCAGCATTCAAAAGATCTCTAGCGTATGACTGATGAGGTACTAATGTACGAATACCAAGTTCAGGATGTACAGACACCGCAAGTCTGCTGTGTTTGAGTTGCTGCAAATGACGCAGGTTTAGCTCTTGACTTCGTGATTGAAAGCAAAATACATACACTACGGATCTATTACTTTATCAACATTGAGTGGATCTTGTTATATAGCCGATATCATGTGTTAATAGGACAATGAAATGAAGTCCCAGACTTTGTCTGAAGAATACGGGTGCCACGAATCCCAATAAACCAATCACAGGGGAAGTCACATTAAGGGGGATGGTTTAACGAACTTAATATAACAATGAACTTAGGAGTCACTTTTGCTTGATACATTAGGTAAGTTTATTCAGGGAGTAAAATCGCAGATGAATAATAAGATGTTAAACTAATTGAGTTGGGGTTTATTTTGTAGTTTGATTCTCATCACATGTAGGAATACCTTATAAAGACAGGAATCGTGGTAGCAGGGTAGTTTTTAACAGCGAATAATTCATTTGGAGAATATCTACTTGATTGGTCTACGTTGTTTTTAAAGAGGCGCTGATCTTCTGCTAAGTCAACTTATCTCAGTTCCATGTATTACTTTGAAGAAAAGTGTAGTTACTCAGTTAATTACATCCCAAATTTTGGGGAAACCCACAAAGTCAAATGACCTTTACCAAGGCTAAAGGGAGATTTTGTGGTTTTGGTGCCATTTCCCCGAAATTTATTATGGCGGCTTCCCCAAAATAGGGAGCTCAGTTTCAGTTTGGGAAGGACAGGAGGCTCGATGGCCTATGTTAGTCCTGGCAATGGTGGTCTCTCAGTTGATCCAACTTTCTTTTGAAAGAGTCGACGGATGGAGCCTCAACGACGTGCTGAGGTAGTGAATTCCACTCGTTGATGATTCGATGGGAAAGTCGATAGTCAGCTGACAAGTAATTTGTTCTCGGCTTATGAACTTTTTTGGAGTGTCCTCGTAAATTCTCTGTTTTGGAAGACAAGAAAAATGAGGGCATGTTAGGTGCAAATTTATCACTAAGCAATTTGTAGACTGTAATCAAGTCGCCTCTAGTTCTGCGATATGACAACGGGAAAAGGTTCAGCTTGGCCAGTCGAGATTCATACGGAAGCTTCGCTATTGCGGGAACCAGCTTAGTCGCCGTTCTCTGAACCTTTTCCAGAAGCTCACTGTCTTTTTTAAGCAGGGGCTAGCCGCCTGTATGCAGTACTCAAGTTTAGGACGAACGAACACTGTATACAAAGTCAAAAACGTCTTAGTGTCGACATGACTAAAAGCCCTACGTATTGACCATAACGTTCTAAAACTTTTGGCGGCTATTGCACGGCAGTGTGCAGTAGTCTTTAAGTCTTGACTAACGATAACTCCTAAGTCATTATATGTCTGGACGACAGGTAGCTCAGTGTTATTCATCGTGTATGTATCTGTGCCTTGATGACCGATATGCATCACAACACACTTGGAAGTATTTATCGGCAACTGCCATGTTTGAGACCATTCAGATAACTTCTTCAGGTCATTTTGAAGTTCTAAGCTATCACTCTTACATCGTATCGTTCTCCATATCTTGACATCGTCAGCATATAGCAAGACCGATGATGATAGGAGACAAGGAAGGTCATTTACATACAAGAGGAATAGCACTGGCCCCAAAACTGTACCCTGGGGCACTCCACTAAGCACAGTTTCCCAGCTAGATAACTTTGAGTTCACCCTTACTCTTTGTTGACGCCCAACTAAGAAGTCTTTTATCCACATCAATAAATTACCTCCAATCCCGATATGTCTTAACTTATATAACAGCCGGTTGTGCGGAACTTTATCAAAAGCTTTACTGAAATCAATGAAGGCGACGTCTACAGGTAGCTTTTGGTCCTTAAGAGCGCACCAGCTTTCACGAGCCACTAATAAGTTAGTGAGACAAGAATAACCTATTCTGAAGCCATGCTGCTTCTCCGAGAGGATCCGGTTTTTATCGAGATACTTAAACAGCTCCTTCCGAATAATCTTTTCTAATATTTTAACAACCACACTAGTTAGGCTAACGGGGCGGTAGTTCTCAGGTTTGTGTTTCGTGCCTGTTTTGAAGACAGGACTTACTATGGCGTTTTTCCAATCTTTCGGTAAGCGACCCTGCGTAACGGATAGGTTAAAGCATGTACTTAAAGGGTTCGCAACGAAGTTAGATAATTCCTTCAGTAGCCTAGGATGTAATTCATCGGGCCCCGTGGATTTACCTATGTCAAGCTTATTTAGCAGACCAAAGACATCGAGTTCTTTAATGGTCACGCTATCCAGTGTATGTATGGGGGGATCTGTATACGCTGACGAGAAGGGCGCTTCTATGGTATACACGTTGCTAAAGTAGTTCGAGAACGCTTGAGCCTTACCAAAGTCGTCCTCCACTAATGATGAAGCAGTACTGTCTCCCCATAGAGCAGGAATATTTCCTTTTCTCCTTGTCCTTTGGTTTATATAGGAATACAAGCGTTTAGGACATTCTATGGATTCCTTAACAAGTTTTTCTTCGTACAATTTTCTAGACTTACGGAGGGTCGAGGCACAAGTGTTCCGAGCCTTTCGATACTGAGATTTTGACTCATCAGTCCCCAGTAACCTAAATCTATCCCACGTTTTCCTTTTCTTACGGAGAAGGATACGGACCTCCCTACTGAACCATGGTGGTGAGTTTTTCGGCCCCTTTGGTATAGTCCAAGGGATGTGAGGTGTGGTAACTTTTAAGTATGATTTTCGAAATGCGTCCCAGGCCGTTTCAATGGAGGACTCTGGGTCTATTGTCCAATCTATTAACGATGCTGAGTGCATGATGTCTGGTATGTTTGCTTTCCAGACGTTGGGTCTGGACTGGACTGACGCGTCCTCATGACTGGCAGTTATATGGAAGTCGAAAGTTAAAACTGCGTGGTCACTTTTACCTAAGGGTGGCATATGGTGGAGGTTCGCAACATCATCCTCATAGTGAGTCAGTATAAGATCTAATAAGGATGATTCAGTGTCCGGGTCGTACCTAGTCGCTTCTTTCACATGTTGCACTAGGGCACATGTGATAACCGCATCAACTAGTTCCTGCTCGAAGGAATTTTCTGACGATTCAGTTCGCAGATTTTCCCAGTCTACCATAGGTGCATTAAAGTCCCCTAGGATTAGACATCGACCACTTTGGGACCAAGTATTGAGACTGCTTAACAGGATCTCATTTGCCTCACAGCTTGGACTGCGATAGACCAAACCAATCAGCAGCTCTTGTCCCTTGCATTTTAAGCGAAGACTAACTAATTCACACGTCCCACTCTCATGGGATACACTATCGATAATGGTAAATGGGATAGCATTCCTAATGAATAGAGCTACTCCCCCTCCTTTGCGCTTTTGTGTTCTGTCGGCCCTTACTAACGTAAAGCCCTCGAAATCAAGTTCTATACTATCTATAGCCTGTGTCAGCCAGGTTTCTGTTACTGCGATTATATCTGGCTTTATAGAGTCAATCTGTACACCTAGTTCCGATCGCTTATTAAGTAAGCTTCGTGCATTGGTGTAACAGATCCGAAGCCTGTTTAAGTGCCTTCGTGCTTCACCCAGAGTGGCTTCGGCATCATTCTCTGTCGAAGTCTTACAACCCGAAAATTTACAATTTTCAGGTCCTTTTCGCCAGCGTCTAACCTATGTTGTAGTTCTTTCTCGGCTTCCCGTCTTTTAACACGGTCTGCCAACGGTAGGTCCTTTCGGATAAAGACTCCTGAACCCTTTAATTTGTGTCCATTTTGTAAAATTAGGTCACGTTCGTTTGAAGAGCCGAATACTACTTTAAGCAGTCTGGAATGATTTGGTTTCGAGTCCGTTAGACTCCCTAGTCTATACACCTTTAGCAAGGTGACCCCAGTCATATTTTGAGGCATGAGTTGATTAAGCAGCTGCCTAATCAGTACAATGTCATGCTCAAAACGAGCTTTAGGTTCAGAGCTATCGCTCTCCTTAATTCTATGAAAAATAGCTGATCTGTCGCTATGATCAGCTTTCGATTTTTCAACCACTTTTACGGGGGCAGGTTTCCCTTTTATATCAATACTTTTCTTCCTTACAACCTTTACCCATTCGTCAACGCTGCTGGTAGAAGCAATAGCAGTTGCGTCAAACCTAGTGTTGGGTTTTGGGGGGTTGTCGACGACCTGAGGGGTCGTGTTATGTTTACCATTTGAAACCGACAGATTGCCAAGCACAAATATTTCCGAGAAAGACGTGTCGGACAAATAAGAATCTCGCAATTATCACGCAGACATGTTAATAATTAAGGAAAAGAAATGTCTTTTTCTGTCAAGTTTAAAAAGTCTCATGCACTTCAAAAATTACCCAGGCTCCCAACTTTGGGGAAACGACATGTATATATATATATATTGTGGGGGTTGTAATTTTTAGCTTACAATACAGCGCAAATGCAGTAAAAACGAACGATAGTGACCCTGACATAATAAGCCACTCCTATCTCACTGAATTACCTGCACGACTGACCCAGAGAATGAATTTCCCACCTTAGTGGTGGGTTTTAAATAGTATTGTACATAACGGTTCAAAATATTTGAATAAATTGTTTCAAATGGTTCTGGATGAAACGGAAGAAGCTTTCACTTAACGGGCTACCTTATCTGGTGGTTATGAATTCGTGATGCCTCCAGGTAAGAACCTGGGTAAATTTAACAATATAAGAGAACGGAAAGATTAGCAAATCATAGTGGGATATTGTACTTAGTCCTTAAGAATATATCAAGTTTCCTCTTGAAGAACTCCTTGGAAGTGGCTTGGACTAGCTCAGTTTTCAGAGAGTCCATATATTAAGCTGCCCTTAAGGAGTAGAATGTGTGCCCTCAGTTCGTTCTGCTATATTGTTTCTCCAGTTTCTGGGTGTTACTCCTAAGATTAAGTATGTGTTTAAGGGGATGTTCATTAGTGTTCAGGATGCTATACGTCATTAGAAGGTCACCGCTAAGACGCCTGAACTCTAATGGGTAAAAATTCAGTAGTTGGAGGCGCTGTTCATAAGACTTGAATTTGGATCATCGAACTGATTTTGTGACTCGTTATCAAATGCGTTCCAGTGTGTCCTTATCCTTTTGGAGTGAGGGAAGAAAAACTATGATTCCACACTATAAATGCGATCGGACAACACCGTTGGAGATCAGGTGAAAAGTTCTTCCATCAGACTGACCAGAAATGCACTTCTATATTGTCATTTCAAGATCTTCCAGAAAGATATTTTTGCCGCAGTTGGCGTAAGACTTCAGATCATGAGAAATCAAAACTCCCAGATCTTTTTCGACTTGAGATACCTCAAGAGAAGAGTTGCCTAGTTACATTGTGCCTCGGATGGACTACGTTACACTTTGAAGTGTTGCAGAAAAGTCTGTAGTCGTCTGCTTAACTTTGAAGTCGAGTCAGATCCTCCTGAAGTGTCAAAATATCCCCATGTCTGCAAACGTCTCTCCAGAGTCTCATATTGCCAGCAAAAGGCAATAAATTAGACGGTGCCTGCTGGAGAAAGTCGTAGTACTGAACCCTGGTGGACCCCACTTGCCTATCGTGTGGCCTGACAATAATTGAAGTTAACCCTTCTGATACACCAATTCAGTACTCAGATTCAGTCCTGAGAATGCTGTTGAGTTGTAGGTGGATCTCTCGTCGATATAGTTGGCCAGAAGGTCGATGACGTCACCGTTATTGTTGGTTGGGCCATTAGGACCTAGCAATTAGAGGACTCAGGTCTTGGCTATTCGGAGAGAGGCTGCATAACTAAATAAGCTTTTCGGATTGGAGACGAATTTATCGATTAGCTTCATTTGGTACTGAAGCCTGTCTTTTCCTTTTGCATTTTCTCATTGGTTCCGTGATTTTTGAATTGCCTACATGTGTTGTTGTTACTGGTTTATTTGCATTCCACCCAGTAAAGCCTTTCGCATCTTAGCGAACCAATGAT